ATGAATGAAAATGAAAAGGATATTTAATAACTAAGAAAAGAAGATACTATAAAAGTGATCGTCAAAGAGTTTTTATTATCTCCATGGCCAAATTTTATTTATTTTCAATGATTTTACTCTTAAATTAGTGTGTTATCACTTAGTATTTAATGCCATTTTCCTCATTTATACCTTCTTAAATTAGTGTGTTATCACTTAGTACTTTTTTCTTATGTTTAATTTATATTAATTCTTAATACAATTTTCCTCATTCTTTACAAAATAATTTATCTGTCATTCATTTGTATTTTTCAATCAATGTGAAAATTTCAAGTGATACCATTAAGTTAATAATGAAAATGAAATCACTCTATTCACTTTCTCTAATTACTCAATAATGTTTAAAAGGAAACAAATTCAAAAAGTGATGAATCAAACATAGAGTAATTATTACATTTGTATTTCATATATACATAAACAACTTTATTTACAACACTTTAAGGTCATATGTCATAACGTAATCCCTGCGGCCATTTCTTTTTATCATAAAAGTTTTCCTTCCGGAGTCCCCTTGATGTTATAGCCTCATGTTAACCATTGGAAAGGAGGAAGAGGAGGAGGTTGCCCGGAAAAGAGATGGTTGGATAGTTTACACAGGTTTTTCATAAATATCTAAAATTAACAGTTTATGTATTTAAAGTAATTGTCCGCATTATAATGAAAATTTAGTAGAGCTGAAATATACAATGTTATACATTTCGAAATTTGTTTCTGCAAAACTATTTCTCCTACTACTTAATACATCATACGTCTTTTAATTGAGAAAAAGAGTGTTCAACTATACGTACGTCTTTTAATTAAGAAAAAGAGCATTCACCATGAACTGTTGTAAGGGGACTCAATCTGTAACAAGAAACTACTACTCATTCTTTGTCAACGTTAACGTTTATATCATTAATGCAGTCGTTAAATTTTTTCATAAGAGTGTAACCTGTATTTTTTCTATTACGGAGTAAAATTTTTGAGATATAAATTTTCCTATTTAATTATTGATTTTTTAAATATTTTCTTCTACAGTTTCTATGATTAGAATTTGTTTATTAAGTGACAAATTTTGAGGTTCTTACTTAGTTAATGTTTGCGGAAAATTTGACAAATGTCTTCTATAAATTTGACAATTTATAATTCTTAAATTATAAATTTAATATGAATAAGATTGTAAAATAAAAAATCTGGTGCGTGCAAAGCACAACTTTCACTTACTGCTCTACTTGAATGTAAAGTATTTTCTGGCAATGTTGGACTATTATAACATTTTTGAAGTGCATTCTTAACCGAGCTAAAGCTTAAAGCCAGTTATCAAATCATTAATATCATTAAAATATCAAAAATCCAATTTATTATATTGATCGTTGATTATGGATTGTTGCGACTATTAATTATTAAACTTTTTTTCCATTGCAAAGTTTGCTAAAATGGAATTACAAGATTTGCATTGCCTGTCATAGATAGGTCAAAAGTTATCACACTAGTTGTAAATGGATACTGTTGGAATATCACAAATGGAAAATTCATCAAATTATTCACTAATTTAATTTTCTATAAGTTTGAATTCCGATTAAACGGACGATAGATACCTAACAATTGTAAGTTTCGTACGATTTTTCGTCTTTGAGCTAGGCTGTTCATACATACAGTAAAAAGTAAATATCAACACACAAACAAACATATATATTTATATTTATTAATACTTTAATTTAGCACTAGACATATAAAAATGTGTAATTTAATGCATCAAAAATTAAAATCGTGCAATTCAAGCCAAAAACGTGCAATTTCATGCAATATAAAATTTAAATATGTTATTCTACAGATCCTGAAACGGATAGATATTCGGGTCCGGATTTTTTATGCGCAAGCAAATAACATGTACAATAACATGGATATCCGGTCTCTAATTATAAGCAATATTAAATTCTATTAATCCAAATAATTTTTCAAAACAAAGTAAGAGATTTTACAAAAAAAAAAAACCACGTTCAAATCAAATAAACAATTATTATTACCCTAAACTAATTCTTTTATAATTGAAATTTAATAATGTATAAAAACTTTATTAATTACATTTTGTTTATTTTGGTTTAACATACACCCTATTAAGACAGGTTATTCTACAAGAAACCATTGTGTTATGGGCAGACTGAGAAGGTCGAGAGATTATTTTTATTTATTATGAAATTTATTTATTTATTTATTTGGTATTTTGTTGCCTCTACCCTGTAGGGTCATTGGCAACGCCTTTAAATTACACTCTGTTGTAGAGTTTTATCACTTTCGTTAGCGATTTCGTCAGGGTCAGTTATAATGTCTTGTCCACTCTTTATACCAGGCAATTTCTTTGTTTTGGAGATCCCCTTAATGCTTTTCACTTTATTCCAGAGCTCCTTCATTGAAATGTTTTGATTTAATGAAGATACGAAGTCTTCCCATGACGATCTTTTGCTTTCTTTTATAGTTCTGTTCGCTATGGCTCTCAATCTTTTGAACTCAATTGCATCAAGCACATTTCTTATTTTTCTGAATTTGTTGAGGGCACGTTTTTTCGCTTTCATTCCACCATGGTACTCTTGTGTGAGATAATCTATTCACTGTAAGAGGAATTGTTCCATGAGCTGCTTCTGTTATTATATCGCTGATGACGGTGGCGCTGTGATCGATATTGTTTAGATCTGCAGGAACCAACTCAATTTTTTTTCTTATTTTTTCACGATACGCTGTCCAATCTGCTTTCTGGTATTGCCAGTGACGATTCCTCATTTGCGTTGGAGTCTCGTGCTTCATCTTCATGGTGATTGGGAAATGGTCGCTTCCATATAGATCCGATTTCGTTTCCCATCTAATTTTTGGGGCCTGTCGAACGTCGCTGAAGCTAAGGTCGATTGATGAAAAATTGTTGCTTTTGGAGCAAAAATGAGTATTTTCTCCTGTGTTTAGAAATGTGGTTGTAGGGCTGTTTTCTAAAAGTTTTTTTAATTTTCTACCTCTGTGCCCATTGTCAGCTAGTGTTGAACCCCAAGCTATATCATTGGCATTAAAGTCACCTAATAACAGGTAGGGTCTGGGTAGCTGATTAACAATTTGCTGAATATCATGTGTAGTAAACGGTTCTGATGGTGGCATGTAAATGTTATAGACAGTAAGTGGCTCGTTTCGGTAAATTTTAACAGCTATTGCTTCGAAGTTGAGAGGGAGCACTTCAGCAAATATGTCATTTCTAACAAAAGTTGCGACTCCTCACCATGATTTTGAGGTTCCTGTTCTGTCTTTTTGGTATATATCGTAATCTTTGTATCTCACTGTTAGAGTTTCTTTTAAGTGTGTTTCTTGGAGACAAACTAGTATAGGGTTCTCTTCGCTTATTGACATTTAGGTGCTCTAAATGTCGGAAAAAAATTGTTACAATTCCATTGAATGATTGTTTTCATTTTGATTGGCAAAGTGTTTCTTATTTCCCAGATTATTGTTATCACCATGTGTTATTTTTAAATGCTCGGTAGTGTTCAAGGAGTGCTCATTCAAAATCTTTATTAGTTTTGAGGTTCTGATTTTTAGCCCTCTATGTGATACTGTGTCTCTGATATCTGAGAGCATTGTTTTCCATTGTTTGTAAACTGAGACATGATATCAGTAGCGTTTGATTCATTTTCTCCCTGAGTCATGTCGAGTAATAGGCATATTTTTTCGTAAGTGAGAGGGTAAGTGCTTTTGTTGTTTAAGATCATGGTTCGCACGGGTCCAAGTATGGTTTCAGTGGGATTTTTGGTCTTCTTTGTTTTAATATTTGAGCCGGCTTTGCACTTTTTCCCAGGTAATGATACTGTATCTCAAGTTTGTGAATGTTGTTGGTTTTTGTTGATCCCTTGATTCTGTGATAAGTATGGTTTGGATTTGCATAGGGTTGTTATAGTGATGTTATTCTGTTTTTTGATTCTGGTCATCATCCTGCATATATTTCTCAGTGTCAGATGTACCTATCAATGTTTCCTTGTTAGTACATTTATTAGTAGGTGTTTTCTCTTCAGTATGTTTGTCAATAGGTGTTTTCTCGTCAGTATATTTATTAATAAGTGGATTGTCATCAATGGTTACCTGCCTATTACTATAGGCTATTACTATTCCAAGTTGCCTGGTGTATTAGACTCAATGACTACAGCATCAATCCTTGCCGCTTTCTTCTAACTACCCTCTAAATCAACTGTGCTTGAGCATGGTTCGATCTCAGTTGATTGGAGCGTGTGCTCAATATTTACCGGATTATACCCTTCCGGCAGTTCTTTTTCTAAACATTTCGCTGCAAAATGTCCCGGTTTCCTGCAGATGTAACAGACTATAACATCTTCAACGAGAAAAATCCGGTAATTGATTCCCTGATAAGAAAAGGTAACCGTGCTACTTAACTTAGTTATATCATCCGCCTCTATAAATACCTGTCGTCGGAACGTTAGTACATGGCTCAGGTTTTTTTCCTTATACCCGAATAGTTAGAAAGTTATTGGTGATAATAGCCTAATCCCTAGCTTCTGAATCTCTTCTTCCAAAGTTGTTTGAGGTATACTGGGGCAAGCACTGGAAATAATGATCCGCTTTCCTGGATCAACCAGTCGTTTAATTGGCAGCTCATGATCTCCTATCGTCATACAGGAATGCTTCATTAGATGCATATCAACTTGATGCTTGCTACTCAAATGAAAGCAAAATCTATTTCCAGAAATTCGAGAGGCATACCTAATGTGACTGGGTTCCATTATCTCAGCGAGTGTTTCGATATACTGTTTCTGCTTCACACCGTTAACAGTAGGAACTTGTGTTACTTTTTATATCACACCTAAACATTCCAAGACCGGAGTTGTGTGGTTTAGAGTTTCGAAACTTTCATTTCCTGTCATCAATTTGCAATATTATTATTTCTTTACAAAAATGATTTTATTATTATTATTTAATTGTATTTGCTGTTATTTTAGGCGTTGGAGTAGTTGTGAGCAGGGTGGAGGGTACCGTTGTAGAAAGCGGGCAGGGCCCTAGCCCTGGAGGCCCTGTCGAAACTTCAGGCTATATTTCTGAAGATGCGGACAACATGGACCAGAATGACAGTACGTTATTTCCTTTTGATACTTTTTGTCACTGTTATCTTGTAACTACTTCATACAAATAAAAAATGAGAAATCCTATAATTTATTTCTTGTTACAAGCCTTCAGGAATTTATAATTAATGAGAGTTAGCATTTACTTACTAATTTCTCATATTAAACTTTTCAGTATATATCGAGGACTTTAATAAAAAAAAAAGTAATTAACTTGCATAATAAAATCACTAATATGCACAATACCCTATTTGCCTGGTCACACTAGCTTTGAAATTATTATGTTCCAAACTTTTGACATCTGAAAATATAAGTCCTTATTATAAAGAAGTATATCATCATCATTATTTGAAATACGCTCGTTGACTTACTCTAAAAATTTATTAATAAGTCTAAATTTTTAATTTTAACTAATTGTTACAGGCCTGAGCCCAACGCCCGCCGTTGACACTCAACCTGTTATGTATTGTGAGCCGTTATTCTGGTGCTCTATTAGCTATTACGAATTGAACACCAGAGTCGGGGAGACGTTTCATGCTTCCCAGCCTTCTATATCTGTAGATGGGTTCACGGGTAAGTTATATTAGTGGTCATGATTAGGGCTCAGATTTTAAGGATTTATCTTTTTTTTGCTGTCTAAGGGAAAACTGATATCTCAAAAGACCTATGCTGATCTTGAGTAGTAGATTTATAATACAAAATCCTGTAGGATCTTTGTTTATCTATTTTGCAATTTTGATCTAAAGTGGATCTTTTTTGCAGTTTTTCACCAAAGAAAGATTTGCTATCTAATTTTGCATGAAAAAATATCTCTTCTGGGGTCTTCATTCTGACTTTGATTCAGTTGAATATATTCTCGAATTAATGTGTATGCTTTTATGCTTAAATATCTAATTATATCAATTAAATAGAAAAAAAGTAAAGCTCTCGTAATATACATATATTTGTCATCAAAGCATTGTTAAGTAATATTCAAGAAAACGGAATATCTGCGTTTTAAGTCTGAGGAAGTTATAAATGTCCTACTTTGATTTACAGAAAGATTGGCTGTTTACTCATGGCGATTCTTAGGCATTGATGACCTCAGGGCTTTACACCTTTTTAAGCCCTCAATAACAGCAACAACATGGCGATTTATTTGGTGGGATTACTAATACATAACGTGGGCGAGGCTATTTGTTAACATTCTGAAATAAATGAAAAAGGCTCATCCCCATTACTGATTTTCTGACAATGTATTATTTGATGTTTTTCTGTTCTATACCTGTTTAAAATAAAAAGTAAACTATTCGTTACCCATTCTTTGGAAAATGAAAAGTTCCATCTGTTAAGGCCCGAATTATATTTTAATGTTTGTATTTAAGAAAAAAAAAAAATTTAACCCAGTTAAACCAATTAATTATAAGTTAATCCAGAGTTATATACAATGGATAAAAACAATGTTTTCAAGCTAAAGGATTTGTTGCGAAGTTTATTGCTCAATATTTGCGGCATCAACACGTAAACATTTAGTCCCTCTCCTCGTCACGACATATAGTTTTTGAAGAAATATTTTCTTTTTCTATCTCCTAATATTGAAGGCCGACACATACTCACCAGGCCTGGCCTATGAACTTATCCATGAGTAAATATCGCCAAGATGATCTCCAACCTTCCGCCCAACCAGAAGCCAGGAAAACAAAGGTTATTTGTGTTTTAAGGTTGTTAGTGTTAATTTAAAAGGTACCTATAATATTTATATATATTTGAATTTTGCCATTTTATTGTTAAGTTAATTTTTGTTCTCCTTCAGTTTTTTTTGTTTGTTTTTTTTAACAATATTTATTTAATATAATTTCATGGTTAATTTTTTTCTTATATTTTATTGATTTTTGTAATAAGAGGATAATTATTTTTTTATTGGTAATACTAAAAATATATATTTTTAGTTTATTTGACCGACAAATATACATGTATAATATTTTTTTTTTTTAACATTAGAATCAGTGAGTATAATAGAGAAGAGAGATTGTGATTAATCCTGATATCACCCCTTCTTCTGCACCATCGTATTTTTATTTTTAACAAAATTGACATTAACAATGTTACAATTGTTGTTAATTTAATTTTGTGATCTGTTTCTTAATGACTTTGCTATAAACCAACGATGTGTTTAATATCTGATATTAGTTGGATGAGAAAGTTATATTTATTAGTTTAAAATTTGTTTATTAATTTACTTTATAAGAAATTTACTTCAATCATTATCTGAGATCTAAAGATCCTTGTTCCAAAATTTTGAGCGAAATGCTGCATGATTTTGAGATCCATTTTTCTGACAACTGACAGAAATCACTCATATTAAAGCATAGAATATTGAGGATATCCTATACAATTTTAATAAATATATATGTATTTTTTGTTAATATGTATCAATGTTTTATTTAGACTTTTCTTTCTGTCAAATTTTATTTCATTTAGATCCCAGTAATTCTGAGCGCTTCTGTTTGGGTCTTCTATCCAATGTTAACCGTAACAGTGTTGTAGAACAAATCCGACGGCATATTGGGAAAGGAGTGCGTCTGTATTATATTGGTGAGGTTTTTTTTCTTTTTTTTATTAATTTTAATTATTTTTTTCTTATCAATATACTTATGTAAATTTATATTTTGCCTAGGTGGTGAAGTTTTTGCTGAATGCTTATCAGATTCAGCAATTTTTGTACAAAGTCCTAATTGCAATCAAAGGTACGGCTGGCACCCTGCTACAGTATGTAAAATACCCCCTGGTAAATATTTTTCAATTTTGAAATTTATTTCTTTAAGAAATATTTGTTGACAATAGAATTCAAAAAGACACCCAAGTAGTCAATTTCTGATGGTATAAAAGTTGGTTTGTAACATACGTTTCCTTTCTTTATCTTTTAACAATATGATTGAAAAAAAATTGTATCGTTTTTGTATAATATGTTGAAATATTGTTAAAATATTACTGCCAAATAAAAAAAGATAAATCCTCTAGTTTATCAAACTCTAACAAATAACCAGTTTGTCGACAAATTGTTACTGTAGGCGATGGATTAGCTCATTTTTGTCAGCTTTTCAGGAAAAAAAAATTTGTTTTCTTTTTTTAGATATTTTATTTTTACTGTATTGAACATTCGAGAACTAGTTATTTTGTTTTATTTTGCGATTATTATAAATTTTAATTTTAATTCATTTATATTAGCCAATAGGCACATCATATTCTTGCTATTTTATTTTTTTTATGCTTTAAATAATTTTTATCTTCTATGTATGCATAGAACCTTGTTTTACTTTCATATTATTTTCTAATGGTATTGAAAGTTGGGTACTTTTTGTCTAAGCGGCCGCTACTGACTGCTATCTGCCAATGTTTATAACCTGAACACTGATAGCTCCCATAACGCAGTGATAAGCCTTCTCCTAGTTCACATCTTCGTATTATTGTATTAAATTCGTATCATTGAAAGTGTAAACAGATACAAAAATAAATGTAATAACAACAAAAATACTTTTATTTGACGACAAATATATTAATGAAATAATAAAAAAACAAATTTAAAAGAACATATTTACTTAGAAAAGAAAAAATATCAACACTATAAACAACGCATATACAAATTATTTTTAGTTAATTATTCACTTCCTTTTGTCTTTATTTGGAAGGCAAGATTGTTTTATGCTACTTAAAATAGCGAGGAACGGGTCCTCGTCTCTGTGAACCCGCTGCCACAAAAATTTGCACAAATATGAATCGAGGTGTTGTCTGGCAGTTCCTCTATGTACTTTATTTCTCCACTTAGCTGAGCCCCACAATCGTTCTATGTGTTGAGTATGAACCCCAGTTGATGGATCGACAAAATTATACCGGTGATTCACTTGAAAATGGTCATAGTTTGCTTCGTTCAGTTGTCGGGTGATGTATCCTTTCCAACAGTCCGAATAAATGGTCGTTCCCTCTTCTATATTTTCTTTAATGGCTTGTAATAATGTTGTTGTCTTTCTGTCAATTATTTTGACGATAAAACATTCATCTGTTTCTCGGCAAACTCCACCAATGATAAGCCAGCAAGTACCCCAACATTTTGAAAATACTGAATTGCCTGTTCTTCTGAAGACGGTAAATCCCATATTCTAAGAAGATCCATAATATGACGAAAATAAACGGAAAAAAAATGAAAAATAAACACCAAGGGGTCACAAACTAAAAAAAAAAGTAAAATAAACACAAACGGACCAAAAACTAAAAATAAACACAAACGGGCCAAAAGTAAACAATTTAATAAGTGAACGTAATAAGGGAATAAGTGAAAACTAAACAATGCAATAATACAAAAGTTTGGCGGGTTAAGAAGAGGGAGGTTATGTGACATGATGACATGACGTTAGATAAGATAGATAAGAAGTGAGGTTTCAAAACGGCCGCTTAGACAAAAAGTACCGAAAGTTGAATGATACTATTGGTTTAATGGTGTTATAAAAGTTTATTTTGTTTTGACTTTAATTATTTCAAATATATTTCATTCAATATATGGCACATTAACGTAGCCCGACATGAGGGAAGGTTCTACTGAATCTCTCAGATCAGGTAACAAGTTATATTTTATTTCTTAAATTAATTTGAATTTTGTTACAAAAAGGATTATCTTCAGAGACTCAACGGAAAACTAAAAAAACTTTGTGTGCATATCACAATTTCAAGGAGTTTTAGTCGCATTAATTAACTTATACATTAGGGGGACCGGAAAGTAATGTCGTTTTTGAACATGTCACTATTTGATTGTAATTTTTCAGCTCATTGTGTATATCTATGTCGTAGCAAAGACATTCTAAGGTTAGAGTGACTTCTGTAGTTGCAAATAATTTAATTTAAAAAACATTTTTGGCTATCTTTGGTGAGATGACCAGCCAAATACCAGATGAGGTACATATCCGGCATCGCATGCTTTTTTAGTTTGCAAAGGGTAATAATGCAACAGTTGCTACCAAAAACATTCGTGATGTTTATCCTAATGCATTAGATGTTTGTAAATGCTAAATGTGGGTTTTTAAGTTTAAATCCGTTAATTTTAATCTTTCCAACTTGCTTCAATCAGGAAGACCAACAATGTTAGACAATGATGTGTTAAGGGCAGAAGTTGAAGCGAATCCTTGTCAGACAATTGAGGAATTGTTGAAATGGTCTTAACCAATCTTGGTCGACCATCCAAGAATATTTGCAGCGGATTGGGGGGCAGGATAGCCGAATGGGCTAACGTGTGTATACAGCACTGCGGGTTGCCTGGCAACCAGATGACCTGAATATGAGATTAAAAAAAATTACGAGTTCGCGAACCTGTGCAGAGGGGATTTTAAATTCCCAGTCCTCACCCTGCGGCCCGGAGAAAATCTCGTGTAGCCTAAAAGGCGATGTAGGGAAGAACAAAAAAAAAAATTGCAGCAGATTGGGAAACCACAGATACTTATTGCTTCAACAGCACAATACACAGTTTTCTATCGCTTGATCACCAGAGTTGAAAAATGTGTGACATATAAATCCTATGTATTTATACGTATGACATATAAATCCTATGTATTTATACGTGTGACATATAAATCCTGTATGACAATCCAATACACAAAAGGCTGTGACTCTCTCAAAAAGAATCACTTTGAAGTACTGCTAAGTTTAGGTTTACACCCCAAAAAGGCTCTTTTGGTTGAGTATTCCCGGCATTGCTCATTTTGAAGCGCTGAAACCTGGACAAACTGTGAATGCAGACCTTTATTGTGAACAATAGGATCGTGTTGATCAATCTTTAATTGATAAGTGGCCAGTTTGTATTCTGCAACACAAAAATGCAAGATTGCACTGGGTAGTAAGACGAACTCTGAAAAAAATGAATGAATTGGGATGGGAGGCACTGCCTCACCCGCTGTACTCGACCAATGTTGCACCATCGGGTTTCCATTTGTTAGGATCATGTCTACATTTTCTAAGGACCAAAAGATTTGCAAATTTGAATGGCGTCCAAAATGCCATCTCTATATATTTTACTCAAAAACCAATTGAATTTTATCGATCCCGCATTGAAAATTTGCAGACTAGGTGGCAAAAGATTGTTGATAATGAGGATGATTCTATCAATGATTAAAACCAAAATCTGTATGAAATTTATGTGTTTGAATGTAATGTAAGAAAACGACATTGCTTTCTGGTCTCTCTAATATAAATAATTTGTTATTATGTTGCTCAGTCATATTTTATTTATAATAATTATATTTTTAGGATGTAATCTAAAAATATTCAACAACCAAGAATTTGCTGCGTTGCTCTCACAGTCTGTTGGTCAAGGTTTTGAAGCAGTCTATCAATTGACACGTATGTGCACTATTCGGATGTCTTTTGTCAAAGGCTGGGGAGCAGAATACAGGTATGTCCAAGAGTTTTTAAATTTAAGTAGTCTGCGGACCACTTCCTACTTGTATTTCACATTGCTATATATATTCATGATTTATTAAATAACGAATACAAAACGTCTAGGCCATGTAGGGTTTTTATTAAGTGAGTTATTTGAATAAAAATGATTGTTGGGTTAGATAAACTTTATAGCCTGCAGTGCAGACCCCAATTTATCAAATTATTTACATCCGCCTAAAACTTTGTTAATAATTTTATCTCATCATAACCTACAACTTTTTTATTTATGAAAATTCTACTCATTTTCAATGTAGGGATTGCCAAACATAATCTATTTAATTAGGTACCAAAAACTGATGAACACCCATTTGTTTCCTGCTGAATCGTAAGATAATTTGATCACAAAATATAGAAAAAAGGTGGAAGACATAAATTCTGCACTGTTTAGCATGACATCCATCTCTAGCATGTGAAAATAATGAGGTTATTAATAATAAATAAATTAACAAATATTTTTGTAGGCCACCTTTGTTATCGATTTTGTGACTAAATTATGTTATGATTGAAGTTAAATTGTGAATGGTAATAATTAGATAAAAAGGATCTGTACCAATGACTATAATCTCAAAATTGAGAGTATGTGATGCGTGCACCGCACCAGATTTTTTTGTTACTAATGGATGGGTGCATATTATTGACCAAATATCTAGACAGGTAAATAAATTTGATTGAGCAGTCCAATAGTTTTGTTATTAATGGATGTGTATTGTTGATCGTATATCTAATTAAAGAGAAGACGGTTGGGGATGTATTTAAGAAATAAACAAAAACAAACTTAAAGCAGGATTATTTAAATTAGTTTGTATCTTATGATGTATAGTATGAGGATCTAACCCTCCCATCTCCCATTCATTTTCTCTTTGATTTTTTTTTTAAATATGTTTATTTATACTTTTGCTCCAGGAGACAGACGGTCACCTCGACCCCATGCTGGATCGAACTGCACTTGAACGGCCCCCTCCAGTGGCTGGATCGCGTCCTCACTCAGATGGGCACACCTCGCCTACCGTGCAGCTCAGTTTCATAAAGTGCTCACATCGACGTTCATCGCATCAAATGGCTGCAGGTCCACCCTATGACATAAGTATCAGCTAGCCGCGCCGAATAGTTCATTTCATAATTGATGGTATGATAATGTTTACAAAATGGAAATCTCAACGTTCTCTAGAATCCAGAAACGTTTGTTTTTCTTTCTGATAACAAATTGAATAATGTCAGAAGAAGTGATAAAAAACATTTGTTATATTAAATGCAGAAAATATTCTTTCAAAGAATATTCTTCTGTATTAGTGATACACGTTTAAATTATCTTTGATAGATGATGATAAATTGGTTCAATTAAACATTACTATTACTGATATGCACAATGATAACTCTTTCAAAAAATAAATACTTAATGAATATTTAGGTCAAAAAAACTACTTAAAAGAAGTACCTGTTCTGAACAATTTATGAATTAGCCATTATCTTTTTCATATTAGAATAGCCAGATATATATATATATATATTGATAGTAGTACAAGAGAAGTTTGTATGTCTATTTCACATGATTTTACTAGAACACAAAAAAAAAAAAAAAAAAAAAAAAAAAAAAAAAAAAAAAAAAAAAAAAAAAAAAAAAAAAAAATGGCAACTTATATAAAAGTAAAATAATCTTTTTAACAGAGTTCCTCAGAAATCCTCTATTGTCATTTTATTATTAACAGACTTACAATATTTTCTTGTCCTAATGTCGATGTATAAAGTGCTTAAGAAAAATTTTAATCCTTTATAAATTTGAAATTATTTACTCCTATTTGGATATTTAAAGTTTCTGTAATAATCTTGTGAGAAGTTGAATCTCGTTTCAAAGAATTTTGAAGAGATCTTTTCAACTCGGAGGCACTAATCTTGCAATTGTAAAACGAGCCCTTTCGTATCCCGAGTAGGCTCTTCCATATTTGTCCAGTCTTGCCAGCAGTGAATGTTTTTTACATATTAAAGTTAGTTTATAACAAATATTTTTGTATACATTTTTCATTGATGTAAACCTTAATGAAATAAGGCATTACATTCGTCTTTTGATAGTTATATTTATAAAATAAGTGCAGTCACTAAAAAAATATATGTATATTAAATAAAAGAAAGAGAGAAAGAGGGAAATAGAGTTATATTTTCTGATAAAGTAGATTCCACTTTGTATGCATGCGGTCTTATTTTAAATATGTTGTATGTTGTACGACAAATTTTTGAGTTTTTTTTCTGTTTTATATATATATATTTTCTCCCCCCCCCCCCTCCTGTTATGTGATTTGATTAAAATTTTATAGATTATTTTAACTGATTTTTATTTGTTATGTTTCATTTACCATTTGAGTGATAAGTGTTGAATTGTTGTAAATTAGTCTCCTACATTGTTATGTTAAGGCTGTTAGTTCTATCCGATAGGTTTTGCATTGCATTTTTTAATTACTTCACGTTCCTAAAACGTTATGAACCAGTGTTAAATGATTTGTACTTGTACAAGTAGGCCTCAAAAAAAATTTTTTTATTCCTCCGAGGACAACTTATTTTAACCTGTTTTGTGCAAAGTATTGCCAGGTGTTAGTTTCTTTCCGTTCGTATGAATGCAATCATAATTGAGAATAAAAACAAATTTTACCTTTTTGTGTCTAAATATCAACTTAAAAAGGTCCGTTCTCTCATTAATGACTTAATTAATGAGCATGGTACTTATGTAAAATATTAAATTAGATTATTATTCATGCTACTCCTAATGAGTACGAGCGTTGTGTTGTTTGCTAAAGTTGTCTTGAGGGTCCTGAACGGATTTAAATATACTGTACCGTGATATATTTTATTCTTAAATAAACAAAAATCGGAAGGATTTAAAAACTTATATTCATTCGATCTTTATTCGTTACCATCGAATTTTTATCTTCCTTGTGAAGCTGATCACTCTCTAATATCATTAGTTTTATCTTCTCGTTTAATCTCTTATCAGAAATTTTAGCTTTAATACAGGATTTCATGCTTGAAGAATGTATTGCTTTATCTTTATCTTTTAATTGTTTTTTTTTTTCTTGAATAGAACGAAACCAATAACAGGCAAAAGAATCGACTGAGTACTTATCATTTTGTTATGTATATTATTTCACCATTGTTTTCTTTTTTACCAACTTAAATTTTTTTATTCTGTTATATTATGATTTAAAGGTTTTAAATATCCAATGGAAAAATAAGAAATGCAATTGATAAATGTTTTTATTTGAGATAATTTATATTATATTTCTATTTTATACTGAATAGTTTGCCATATGGCTAATAAAACAGAAGATATTATAGATGGTAGTCAATCCAGAAACTACTTCCATGGAATGCTCAAGTTTTGGCCCACACTACTTTCATTCTTCAGGAAGAATAGATGAGTTTTAAGGCAGCGTCATTGAGATTGTTTCTTTCCTGCAATGACCCAGTCACCCTGAAGGAAGCGTTAAACGTGGGCCAAAACTTAGGTGTTTAATTGAAATTGATCCACCATTGCATTCTCATTGACTATCTTGATATAAGAATTGCATGTTCTAAAAGCATTTAATTAAATAAATTGCTACAGATTTGTTAACATATCATCTTCTACAATGTGAAAGAATTTTTGCAAATATAAGATTGATATTAAAAAATATCCTCCATTCAGTCATAAGTTCCAATTCAAAATTGGCTCATCAATTCCCATTTATTAAAAAAAAATTGTTGATTTTTAAGAAAGATTCTTTTTTTGTGATGTCCGAAAATATGCATGTTTGAAAATCATTTCAGTTTTTTGTTTTGTATTTATTTTTATGAGAAAAGTAATTTTTAGCATAGTGTTCTGATGATTTATTTTTGTTAATATACATATATAAAGAAATATATTTATATATATATTGATAGATTTTGTTGAGCTTTAAGATATAATTTTTATTGTATATGTTATTTAAAAACTGATAGATTTTCTGTATACGAATGATTTCTATTTTTGTAACAAAATCATGTATTTCCATAAAATGTCCTATTTTGGATTTTCAGTTATGTCATAATTAATTATATATGCAATTGAATTATGCGCCTTTTACTTCTTGTTTTGTAAATAATGTGTATATTTTATTCATATTATCTTAGTTTTTTAATCTTTTTTTTTCTTTTAAGTTCTATTACAATTATTATTTTAAGTGTTTACTATTTCTAAAAAGCTAGTCAGTCAACTGAAAGGAAAAAAAAAATGCTATAGATTTTTAATTTAAAAGAGTCCTGTTGTAAATATCCTCTTTCCAGCTATTATAAGATAGATTGTGCTTTATCTGTTACTAAAAAAAACCTATCTCTTTTTTTTTTTCTTTATTTGTTTCTCTCGAAATGTTCATCGTTCTTCTACAGACTGTAATTAAGTGACTTTTTCTAGTTTACATTAACTATAGAGCTGTAGCTGAAATTGTATGCATGTGTTAAATTGTTAATGTGATTATTCTAATAGTACAACCAAAAAAAAAAAAAAAAAAAAAAAAAAAATGAATTAAGATAGAAATGAAAGATGATGTTGCAATTAATTGTTTAAATTTCTCCAAGTGCATGATGTTGATGTAATCTCTTGATGTGTCGCGTTCCTCACCATCAACAGGATTGGAACATGGTATAAACTATACAAATTATATTTATTGTGTTGTATCACTGCCTACCAGCCGAAGGATTATTGTATTTTGAATGATTGGTGGCAATCCATGTGCCATATTAATTGTAAATGTTTGTTACATTTTTAACTGTCCTTTACTATAAGTATCTGATACAAAATATCAATTGTATTTTATAGTTTTAAGGGCATTTTTTAAAATTAGAAATAAACTATAGTGTAGATGGTTTACAAATAATTTATTCACTGATCCTCATCCTTTTTTATTTATTTATTTTTTTAAAGAATTTTTATTCATTATTTAGATCTTCTAAAGTCGCTTCTTCCTGTTCCCTAAAAAAAATGAATTAATCATATTATATAATTTCAATACTTTTATTGAGGTATAATGTTAATATGAAATATATTGGATCGGCTAAAAGGAAAATCATTGCTTGTCCAAAACAATCTGTTTTTTTACTTTCACTTATCTTTATATGAAATATATAGTAAGGGAAAGTATTACAATCGTGAAAATTTTGGAATCTGTATTTTGAGGTCCCCTGAGTTGAAATAACCAAGTCCCGCAAAATGGTCTATGTGTGAGTGTTAACATTCTAGCTCAAAAAAAAAAAAGTCGTACAAAAGTGAAATTGCATATTTAAAGTTTTTATATACTTGACATGTTAAAGCAACTTTTTCGTCAAATTCAGCTTACCAGAAGTGGCACTTTATATCATGGACCAAACACATTTTTATGACTCTCGAAAACGGCTCATTAAATTCATTATATTAGTGTAAAATTAAATAGTTTTGAATAAAATGTAGGTTTTATTCTGTTTGATGTTCTCTAATAGAGCTTAAATGATCTAATTTTCAATAATAGTTTCCCCTACCTTTAATTTTTTTTTATTTGAAACAATTGACCATTTCAGATTCATTTATAAATTTTTTGTTTGCTGTTATTTAGTGTTGCCTTGACTTCCAAAGCTTTTTAATATAATTTAAAGTTCATGGCTTCAAATTTTTGGTGCAATTTGTTGTTGGTCCTTGTATTTTACTTTTTAAATTATTATTTATATAATAAATATGAATATTAATAAATCTAGTTTCTAGTTGATTTATAATTTGGAATATAATTAAAATTTCCACCTTTCTTATGGAGAGTAGGAGATAAAAAGATTAAATTAATTAATTTTCTTGCTATTTCAGAAACAATATTTATACGTCATTAATGCTCAAGATTTATATTAATTTGTAGGCTGTAAATATAAAATATATTTTTAGAAATGTTTTCTATTTTTTTGAAAAAGAAATTGCTACTTGATTGTGCCCTTATGAATGCGACTAAATAACCACGACAGTGGAAACCTTGCATCTTCTTCATTCCAAGTACTCCAAATCATCTTTCTATTTCAAATGGTCTTCAGAGTTTGCATTTAGAACCAATCTTTAATCACATGAAATGCTATTTTTTTAAATATGATTAATAGAACATGAAACGATGTAATTTAGATTTTTTTTAAGAGTTCATAATATCATTCTTAGCTTTTAACATATTTAAAAAAGACTTGAAAAGCATTTTTAATTCAAAACTGTCTTGGAAAGAAATTGTAATTTTAATTAATAATGCAATAATATTTTTTATTTATTTCGTTTTTTACTATTTGAGATTCTTTTCTAGAGTGCCACCTGGACCATTTCTTCCCTCATTATCTTAATGGTCTCCCAACCATGTGAATTTTTATAAAATATATATATTTTTAAAAAAATAATAAAAACTAATCATAACTGGGCAACAAAATTTTAATTATCATTTATAGATATATGTAAAAAGTATTTTTAAAATACAGTATATTTTAATTACTATGCATTTAAACTGTTCAAAAGATAAGTATTCCTGATAAAAAATAATAAAATTATTTTTTATTTCAATATTTCTAGAATTATATTTTATATTGAAAGATGTGAGATAGGAACCTTGTCAATTTGGTCATTTATTTCAAACAAATCTTACTTCTTAATATTTTATATACAAAAATTATTTTTTAAACAAATATTTCCTACATCTGTTAGCAATAAGACAGGCTGATATGAAATCTGTCACTGCTCTTTTTTCTTTTGACATTTGTCACTTTTTTAAATTAATGGTTTTCTTATGTTGAAACTTGTGACAAAAATGAAACAAAATCTATCTAAAAAATCAACCTTTTGAAACTAACACTGAGAATTAACTTATTTAATAGTTATGTTTTTAAATAAATATTTACCAATATTTCAAGCTTGTAGTTATAGCTAGGATCTCTTAAATACCTTTCACAATACGGAAGGTTATGTGGTCCTTTTGTACTATAAGAAGGAAACATTTCTTTACTAAGAAGTTCAGCGTTGTATCTTTTAATGAAGTAGGTCCAGCAATCTAATACTTCAGTTTTCATTTTGATTGGTATGACTGATCTTTCATAAAATTTCGGATAGTCCTCGAGTATGTCTAAATTTAACAACATCTTTTCATCAATGTCATAAACTTCTCCTATAACATTCTGGATAATTCATTCTTAATTGAGTTATATTCTTCTATATATTTTTCTTTAAATATCATATTAAAAAAACTTACATTTCCTACACCAGGCTTATCTAGAAGAAATGGGATATTATACTGTGTCCCAATTATCAAGGGGTACTTCTGAAGAGTTGTACCTTCACCTAAATAATTAGAATTACCATTCTCTGTGTTACTTAACCAATGATGATTAGGTTCATTTGTTTTCAATGTTCCATAAACAAATACTTTGAACCTACTCATGACTGGTATAAGATTTTTGAAAGTGCAAATAAAACTCCTACTTTTTTTCACTGTTGACTTTTTCAAGAGAGGGGTTATATAATAATCAAACAGAATTATCTTTCATTTCAATCATTTAATTAGTTATAAGTTGTTACAAAATAAGTGATTATAATATTGTAATATTGTAATTGAACTATATATTTCAAAAATGCTTTATCCAAATACCATAACTAAGTCACTTATTAATTTAAAAGAAAATCTAACAATTGTGAACTAATATTTAGTAAAATTAAGAAGTTAGTTCCAAAGAGGAAATTTTCAGTAAAACACTTATTTGAATTTATTAAGAAAGAAAGAAAGTAAATTTTATTCTGGGACATTTAGTCCCCTCAGAATAACTACAATGAACAGAGAAATAACAATTGTCTGGCGATTGTGAATAATTAAATGACAATTATAAATAAATTAATTTACAGTTGTCTAATCTTAATATTGAAATAAAGAAGCATGTTAATTTTTCAGAATAATAAAAATTCTTAATATTAAAAATAAAGACACTGTAGTAAACACATGATCTTGAAGTAGACATGTGAATTTAGAGATGATACATACCGGCGAGTTCATGTATTTGTACAAATAAGCAATATGACACATATGTAGATATCTGCAAGATATCGGTATAGTGTAACTGACATTTCTAAAGTACAAAATAACTTTATTTTACATATATATTCGAAGATTGATTACTGAGGAGATGGCAAAATAAATTATGTTTAAATGAGGTCAAGGATGAGGATTTCCGTAAAGAGGTTGGTAGGAAATTCCAAAACGAGGTAGCACGTATGACGAAGGATTTTTAAAAGAAAACAGTTCTATGAGAAGGAATAAACAAATTTGAGGTTTGGGATCTCGTGTTGAACGAATGAACAGGGGTACAAGGAGTAAATAAATCAGGAAGGTAAGATGGTTTTTTGGTTGTGAAGGTTCGGAAAAGGAATACACCTAGGAAATATTGCCGTCGGAGAACTGGATAGAGCCACTTCAACTCGGTATTGCAACTGGGGACTCCAAGTATAAATCTAATGTAACAATTCATTAGCCTCTTTAATCTGATTTCAAGTTCACCGTACACAAGGCAGCCATAATCGTAGTGGGAAAATGAGAGAGGAAACTAGGAGCTGATGGATTTTAAGGGGCATAGAGTCACGGAATCTCAGGAACTTTATTGAAGGAACTTAGTCGACTGTTCTACATATGATGGGTGATAAATATTCAGGATGCAGTCATTATAAACTTTTTTATTAGTGCCGACGTTTCAACCCAAACATGTGGGTCGTCATCAGGGCTGAAATTTTTTTAAATACAATCAGAGATATAATATTATACAACCGATAATGGTTAATAATAAACTATAGTGATTGGTGGTTCATGGATCTTAACTAATATTACAATACACAATATTACAAATGAAATATGTAAAAAGTTATACAAACTAAAAATAATGTATGTAATCCATTTATAAAAATTTGTAATATTTTCTCTTACTAACCATGGTTCGAACACTGAAGGTGATCAAGTACTGACACATTTGGTAGGTAAGTGAAAGGGTCGGGGGAGGATTTCCCAGTTGTCCTTTTTCAGACAGCAAAAGGTGGGTAAACATAGTCAGAGGGGAGGGAGGAACTAATACAAAAGTTTATAATGACTGCGTCATGAATATTTATCACTCATGATGCTATGTATTGAACATAGCCTAATGATAATTAATAATATTTAAAAATAATTTCTAACACCTGGGCGGGTACCTGAAACCCCCGACCCAACCTTTTGTAAGTGGTTACTTAGATAGTGGTAGGGATACCTGATAATCCCCTGAGGTAACCTTTTAGCACTCTTGAAAATATTCTTAGCACACCCACTAACAATAGAAGTACTTGACGACACATGTCGGCAAAAACACCAAAGGACCAGTCTTATGTTTATAGAGGATCAAAAAGCTTTTAACTCTTAAGCATAGGAAGAAACGGTCGTGTACCTGCTAAAAGGGGTGTGTTCAACATATCGCTGGGGGTGTGGTCATCCCTTCTGCTACAAAAATTGAACCAATGGGAACAATTCTTGCCCCTACCAAAAGAGAGGGGATGAAAAAAGGTGGAAAATATAGAACTTGGACGAAGACACTTCTTCTTGGAACTCGGCTGAGGACACTTCTTTTTGGGACGCAGCTGAGGACAGCTGGATGAGGAGAGGCTGATAGAAGAGAGGCCTGATGTAGCTGCCCGGCCCTGAGGAGGTCCCTGAGGTTTTCTTCTAGCTAGAGGATGTTTTATTCGCAGATGCAGCCATGCCCATCCACCACTTCCAATATATATTAGATAAGTAATTCCCAACAATTCCTTTTTAAAGATGTTTAAATATTTAATGGCAATGTAATTTTAAATTCCATCCATCTGAATCATGCCGGCACAACCAATTGTATAGTTCATTAATTTTTGTAAATATAATGTATATAACATTCTTTCTCATCACTTGTAAATAAATATAATTTGTACATAAAAGTTATTTTAATCATGCCACCTATTTCTTTCATTATAAGCACAGGTAATGTTTGGTAATTAGTGAACAGATAAACACACAACAAGCCTTTGTGAGAAGTAATCCAATAAATTAATCAAGAACCAATATGTCAAATGACATAATTTGTTTAACTAATATTTTTACTAATTAATTCTGGATAATTATGCTCGATAATTACCAGTGGCATCCCGTTATCAAAATCCACTACTAATCAAAAACCATTTTGATACGTAGCAATGATTTGAATTTAATTACAGCAGAACATCGCTCAACCATCATAAAAACGAAAAACAAATTAAATACTTTTTTTCACAAAAACTACTAATTGCACCATTTAAGTTATCATGAGAACTAAATCATTCAAAAGGAAAAAAAGTCAAAAAGAAGAAGTTGTTTTAATTAAAACCAATCTTGGCCTATAACTTCAATTAAACTAAAACATTAACAAGCGAATCAAGATTAAGGTAAAAAGTTCTTTTTATTTGATCTTCTTTAAAAGGTCTTGGAATTTATTTTTAATATTAGTCCGTGGTACCGATCCGATCTGTTTTATTTACAGAAATTCTCGGAATTGGAGGTCGGCAAACTTTGTCTATTTAATTAAGTACTGAAAACTCGTAAATACATATTTGCTTTAAGATACCTTGAGCACAAAGTCGAAGAAAAAGGTGTTCTACGAAAGTATTAGGCTGTTTGGAGTGACATCCGTTTCCCACATGTCAAAATAACGAGGTTATACAGGCCAAACCGCTCAATATTTTTGAAGGCTACCTTTTTTTCTCGACTTTGTGCTCAAGTAATCTTACGATTCAAGTAGAAAGTAAATGGGCATTTACGAGTTTTTAGGACGTAATTAAATAGACAAAGTTTGCCGATTTCTAGATTGAAAATGCTCCAATTCCGAGAATTTTCGTAAATAAAATATTTGTAGGTTACGATAAGATGAAGTTACGAAGTTTCAGGCGGATGTTAATACTTTGATAAAAAGGGGCCTGTATCACGGGCTATATATGGGAACACAGGTTTCTTCATCATATAGTTTTACGTCATATACGAGTAGAATTAATAATGGACCTTATTATACTCGGGATTAACCGGTTCTCTCGTTAAACTGGAGACTCGGTCTGGATTAGAATGATACGGTCCTATTGTACTTTTTTAACTCGAGAACTGTAGGCATACACCTGTCGCTTAGAATATATAATAAATAAGCTTAAGTCGTTTTTATTTCTATTGGTGTAAATCAAATCTTGTAATAAGTTAATTTAAGATTATGTGGACAGAGTAAACTATTGTACTAAAACAAAAGACTAATGACAATGCAGTGTTATGGGGTTATTTGGATGTTTTCATTATATATCATCCCTCTTGGAACAAACCTGCTGAATTTGAGATATCATGGTGCACACGTTTCTCAAAACTGCTAACGATTTTTTAGGTGTGTTAAATAATATTTATAGAAAGTAAGATCTTGGTTTTTTTTCTTGTCCCTGCCTTGCTTTGAAGGCCATTACGAGTTTTGACAACAGTGGAGAACTATGCACTGGCTATTAGTAGACCACTGCTGCCAAAGAATTTCTTTATTTATAATGTATTTCAGTAAGAATTTTACAACTGTGAGGACAATAAAGTGGGAAATTATATTAACATGCAGACCTGTGCATCAGGCTTGTACTTTTCTCCCCCCCCCCCTTTTTTCCTTCTCCTTATCCAAGATCACTCTGAGATCGCGACACGGCTAAGGTTCCTCTCTTCTTTCCAGAGAGAGGTGGTTTTGGCCTACAGCTTCCTTGCACCTGTTAATCAAATCCCTGGCCGTTAGTTGAGTAAACGAACTCGCAGACAAGATATAGTACGTAAATTCCTTTTAGAAGTTTGATCCTCAATCCAAGCGCTAACGGCATGCTCGGCATAATAAAATAAAAGCAAATTATAAAATAAAATATTGAAATTGTATAAATACTCGTATCCATAGGTTTGTTGAAATGTTCGCAGCAAAAAACGATGAAAATAAAAGCAATGCAACAGCAAATCGATAATACGAACATATAAAAAAAAGAAGAAAGAAAAAAAATTCTCACATACCTTATATAATGAAGAATTGATAGTTAGGAGAAATTATTGATATTTTAGTATAGTTAAAGATATGATTTTGCTAACGAAGATGGGTAAGAAATTCCGAAACAAGATAGCAGGAATGATAACATATTTTTTTAAAGAAAGCAGCTCTATGAGAAAGAATATGCAAGTTCATAGAATGGGAATCTTGTGTTCTAAGAGAGGAAAGAAAACAACCAGAGCAAACCAACCGGAATTTCATTAGTCGCTTTAGTTTTATCTTGTATTATCATTTTGTGAGTTTCAGCAATGCCGCTCTCAAGGTAACACTGCATGCCATTTGTTGAATACTGTTCAGTGAAGTAAACAGAATAGGCTGTGATTGGTATATGAGGCGATAAATATTTTTCAATTAGAACTTTTTTTTTAATATATTTGTGAATACAAAGCTCTGTGCTCGTCTGCGGGAAAAAGGTCCACAGAATGCTAGCTAAACGAAGATGGTTGAAATTGGTTCTTATGGTGCATTACCCATTCCTACCTCTTTGGCTTATTGAGTGTCCCACGGGTTCTATTGTTTGTAGGTTTACATTCATGATTTAAAAAAGTTTGTTAATTATTTCGTAGGTTTAGTGAAATCTACAAAAAGTATACTTGAAAAATGTTCTAAAAGCATTCCAAAACATGGTAATTTCTGCAGAGCTGGAGTCTTTCTATAAACAATGCATTCTAATATTTCGGAATGTGATACTGAACTCGAAATACCGTCGAAAAAGATAAAATTGTCTCCAGTTCAAGGTTAGTATTTATTTGTAATTATTCAATCATCATTTTATAATATTATATGTGTCCTATATTATAACTGGAATGACAGAAAGGTTGTGTTTTAGAGAACTGTAAAACTAAGGAAAGAATTCTTTCTAAAGTTTTACAAAAAGAAATACAACAAGAAATAAATTTAAGAAAAGATGATTTAGAATTAATTGAAGGAAATATCTTTCTTGTAAGACAAAAACTTATCCAATTGAAGCAGGTGTTAGCTGCTGAATATTACCGTCAAAAAAGTGTTAAAGTAAGTTATTAGAAACAGACGTAACATTAAATTATAGTTAAGCATCACAATTAAATTCTTCTGATGTAATGTATTGTGATATATGAGGTTATTTTTCTGTTGATTGAACCATTTACAATGTCCATGTCAATTACTGTTTGAATTGCTTTGCTAGGGATGTTTGCAGTACCATCATCACCCTGCTGTAAAAGATACATTTAGAGGTAAATATCCTGTTGGATATGAAGGTAGCAGTTCGGTTATTGCTACCTCGAATGAGGCAGCAGCTTTGGGTTCTCCTGCTGTTGTTAAAAAAGAATTTGAACCTGCACAAGAAGTTTCTAATGATGAAGTTATTAGTGCCATAGCTCATTCAGCCCAGTTAAATAAATTATTGGAACATGACAAACTTCCATGTTATATTCCACCAAAAAATACTGATGACAATGTTGTCAAACCTACTGAACCTCGTGGTATAGATTCTAAAAAGGAAATAAGGTAATTTTAATTGATTATTTTATAATGTTCTATTTTATTTACCTTTTTGACTTTTACATTGCTTCCATCTGTTATCTTTATCTTTCATTTACTTTAATTAAAAGTACAGGGCTTGAGGCCTCTGTAGCATGACATGAATGGCTGTCAAACATGATACTCTCTAAACCAGGGGGGGAGGGGGGTCCTTTCATCTGTGGGCACATTTACACGTTATTTGTCAGGTGACAGGCACAGATTTTTTTATATTTATATATATTTTTTTTTTTTTTTGCTCGTTGTGAATTTGAATTTCAACTAGGTTACATTTAATAACATTTTTTAAAAAGGGATATCAGTTCAATTAATGGTGTTTGGCATCGAATCTTCGGGTTCCTAAACCTTTTATTATTATTATTAAAGAATATCAGTAAAAAAAAATGGTACTTTTTGTCTAAGCGGCCGCTACTGACTGCTATCTGCCAATGTTTATAACCTGAACACTGATAGCTCTCATAACGCAGTGATAAGCCTTCTCCTACTTCACATCTTCGTATTATTGTATTAAATTCTTATTATTGAAAGTGTAAACAGATACAAAAACAAATGTAATAACAACAAAAATACTTTTATTTGACGACAAATATATTAATGAAATAATAAAAAAACACTTTAAGAAGATATGTACATATAAAACATCAAAATGAAATTAAAAATAACAAATTTAAAAGAACATATTTACATAGAAAAGAAAAAATATCAACACTATAAACAACGTATATACAAATTATTTTAAGTTAATTATTCACTTCCTTTTGTCTTATTTATCTTGGAAAAAAATGAAAAATAAACACCAAGGGGTCACAAACTAAAAAAAAATGTAAAATAAACACAAACGGCCAAAAGTAAACAATTTAATAAGTGAACGTAATAAGAGAATAACTGAAAACCAAACAATGCAATAACTCAAAAGTTTGGCGGGATAAGAAGAGGGAGGTTATGTAACATGATGACATGACGTTAGATAAGATAGATAAGAAGTGAGGTTTCAAAACGGCCCCTTAGACTAAAAGTACCAAAAAAATAAAATAAATATGTTTCATAACAAACATCTTTATTATTTCCAAAATTAGCAGTCTTACCCACAGTCTCGCTATATATTTTTTTAATGCCAAAGGAATGGATTAAAAAAAGCAATTGTGATGTTATTACATCGATAGAAGAATCATTACTGTCAAATAATTCACTTATATCTCCATGAATTATATATATATATATATATATATATATATATATATATATACATATATATATATATATATATATATATATATATATATATATATATATATATACATAAATTTCATTGAAAACTCTTATATCTGTAGCAGACCAATTAAAATAATATTGATGATTGAAATATATTTACTCTAAACTTCTCAACACTACTTTAAAAATATATATTTTAAAGTAGATATTTTTACTCAGTGTTGGCAGGATGAAAGAAAAAATGGAAAGGTATGTTTTAAATAAAAGTCTTGAAGCTGGAAACGCTATTCCAAGCTAAAAAGTATAAGATATCCAACGGCCTGAGCTAGGTTCTGGCAGTGTCTAATGTATTTGTGCTCCTATATTGTGGCTCAGTCCTCATTACTTCTCTTTAACGATAATTATTTTGGAAAATATGCATCAGAAAAAATTGGATTTTTTCTCTGAGTTTTTATATCCTAATCTTCTTTACAGAGATGTTTAATTGAATTTATGGAATCAAGAAATTCATTTTTAAGTTTTCCTATTATGTGAACTGACATATTTTTATTATATTGTGGATAGTTTTTTTTTAAATAATATGTGTAGCACTGATCTATCTTACTATTTTTAGAATAATCGTTGGGAACGTATCAAAATGGCTCGCACCAATGGAATCATCAGATGCCACTCACAAATGGACCGTCTATGCCAAACTGGCCCAAACTAATCTGGACATTTCATTGTTTGTCAAAAAAGTTGTATTTTTTCTCCACAAAAGCTATAGACCTAATGATATTATTGAGATTAAGTAAGATATTATTTTATTATTCATTAATTTTGTCAACAAAATTTATATATTTTTAAATTAGATGGCAATTTTAAATTTACTTATAATTTTTTGATAGTTTACATTCCAGAGAACATTTTCAGAACTTTTATATTACTGTTAACAAGTTTTCTATTTTTACATATGTAATAAATTGCCTGAAATATACTCATTAACTTAATTATAGACTACAATTAACGCATAATCATTAGTCTGATTTTGTCAGACTTAAAGATTATCCTTTACGAATCATTATTGGAACTTGCATTGCCTTCAATTCAATTCACTAGCGACTAGTTCAATGTACACACGAGAATCTTTTTTGAACTTTGTCCTATTGTTTTTGCTTGTGTATTGCATCTTATTCTCTTGAATATGTCTTATCAGGAATGGTAATTAAAGTATTTAATGAACAGGGATGGTAATTAAAAGTTATCTTTATACAGTTATAGTAAAAAATTCAGAAATAAATTATAGTTTCCTGTATAGCCATCAATTTTAAAGATTTTTTAAATGTTACATTTATGCCATTTTGTAAAATGTTGACTACGCCTTTTTGTATTTTCTATTTTATCTTATTGATTATCTTGCTTTACTGTATTTTGTTATTTTCTTTGAAACACTGTCATCAATTTTTGTATTATTTTGTTTCCTTTTATTTTAATTTTTTAATATAAATTATAGTCCTATTAATTAAACTGTAATAAAATATATAATTTTAACTTCCTTATTGTCATTGTAAAATATTTGAAGATAGTTGTATAAAATGTTTGATATTTGCACAGATATCCTCCTTTTAAACTAACACGTAGAGGATGGGGAGAATTTCCATTAAAAGCTCAGTTTCATTTCAAATCTCCTGAGAATCCTCCGATTGATGTGCTGCACCATCTAAAATTGGATCATAACCATACAGGATTCGAAACTTTTGGTATGTGTTACTTAATTTTTTTTTTTTTTTTTCTATCACTTATTTTGTTTAATCAACTCATTTTCTGAAAATAATTATCACCATTCTATTCTTATCTATTAGATTTTTATTCGGAGAAAGTTTTTGTATTTCTTAATTTTTTAACAGTTTTTTTTTTCTTTTAGGAAAATACACATTTATTTCAGAGCTATTAAATAAAGATCGTGGTGCTGTTCGCATTAAATATTAAGCACTGTTTAAAGGTATTATAATGCGGCTATTTGAGGAATAGAAAACTTAAATAAAGCTGATTTTGAAACAAGTATTTCATCATCATCCTGAGCTCGACAATCCATTACTGGATCTCAGCTGCCTCAAGATTCTTTCTCCGTATTTTGCTGTCCTTAGCAGCTGTCCACCAGTTGTTGATTCCAAGGATTCCGCCATCAGCATTTACTCCATCTTTCTATCTTAATTTTGGTTTGTCTACTTTTCTTTTTCCACCCGGCCCAATGCTGAGCAGATTCTTTGGGGTTGAGAACTCTTCCATCCATACAACGTGGCCCACCCATCTCAGCCTTGCTATCCGGATATATTTCACCACATCTGGCTCCTTGAATAAGTTGGCTAGTTCTTCATTGCGTCTAATTCTCCATTCACCATTCTTCTTAACTGGGCCAAATATCTTCTGAAGACCTTCCTTTCGAAAATTAATATTTTACTTTCACTGGCCTTCATCAGTGTTCACGTTTCACATCTGTATGTCAAAACAGATCGTATAAGGACTTTGTACAGGAGAAGTATAGTTGATGGTAGTAGTGAACGGCTTTTCGTGTACTTAAGGAGACTATAATAACATCTATTTGCAGCAACAAGTCTTTGCTTCACTTCCTGTTTCATATCGTTACCGTATTCACTATCGATCCTAAATATTTGAACCTTTACAATTTTTCAAATTTGTATCTACCAACTTGGATGGGCGGGTCAGTATGACGACTGTCAGTTGTCATATACTTGTTGTTTTCTTCGTTGACCTCAAGTCCGATCTTAACTGCTGCTGCCTCTAGCAAGCTATAAAAGTCCGTCATAGCTGTCAAGGTTTTCCCAATAATACGTATATCATCGGTGTAGGCTAATGTTTCAACGCTTTTTGTAAATATAGTGCCTGTTTGTATACCAGCATGTCTCACTATACTTTCTACAACTAGATTAAAGAGAGTGCATGCTAGAGTATCACTTTGTCTCAAACCTCGTTCGCACATTTAATTTTTAGATTTAAATGTTAAATCTTAGATTGCTAGATTTTAAATGTTAGATTGTTAAATCTTCTTGCACTCTAACATGGCATTTCGTGTCTGTCTCCAATCTAATTAGCTATGGCGGGATTTTAAGTTTTTCCATTTCCATTTATAATGTTTCTCGCCAAACACTATCATACACCACCCTGAAATCTCCAAAAAGTACATGTATATTGGAGTTAAATTCTTTCATTTTCTCCAGGATCTGTCTCAAAGTGAACAACTGGTCAATGGTAGACTTTCCTCTCCCTAAAGGGTTAAGCTTGTTGTTGTTTAGGGTGTTAGAGAATATTTTATAAATTGTAGGGAGCAGTGTAATTGCCCTATAGTTGTTGCATCTGATTGGATCACCCTTTTTCAGTATGGGCCATATTATACCAGTTCTTCATTCTTCTGGTATGACTTCCTCTATCCATGCCTGCATTATAAGATTATGCAATCTTTTTATAGTTTCAGATCCACAGTCTTCCTCATCTCTAAATCATCGTCGGCGTGCTGATCATATTTAGAGCCATATCATAGTTTTATTTGCAATGATTCCTATAGTGTTCTGTCCATCTTTCCAAAATACCAGTTCTATCTAATATCAATAAGCACCGTCTTTGTTTCAGATCTGACTTGTGCTAGGCATGTAAGTTTTCCTTCCCTCATTTATATTTTTGTAGAAGTTTCTTATATCCTTTTGCTCCTTCAGATTTTCCAAATCTTCTACCTTCCTTCTCTCCCATGTCCTCTATTTTCTCCTGTGGATCTTTTTTCATCTTTTCGCTTCTTTCTATATTCTTCTGTCAGATTCCTTGTTTCTCTTCCACTGATCATAGGCCGGTAGGCTTTATTTTTATCCAAGGTAGTTTTACTACACTCTTCATCGTTCCAATTAGTTCTTACCCAAAACCTCCAGGACTACTAATATTAAAACAAGTATTTAGTTACTCATTTATGTATGAGCCATTTGTCCAAAACGACAGAGTTTTGAGTAAACTTTGTCAAAGATGTTGTTTGAAAATTTTTAGGCTCATCTTTTTGCTATATTTTAGTTAAAATATTCCTGAAATGGCCACCTATACAAATACTGTTCTTGTTCACACCATTTTGTCTTTATCTTTATATTTTATCTTTTATCTTTAATTATCTTTGATCCGAGTTGCTGGGCAATGTTCTGTGCTGTGCACACGTATTAGCCTGCTCGGCCACACCCCGCCCCACTCCTCTTCACACCTGATGGACCAGGAAGCAAATGGGAGATAAACAGAAAGAATTCATGGTGAGGTGATTCACAAAAATCCCTCCCCTCTCCCTCCCTCCTTGTATTTCTTTAATTGATCGGAATTCAAAAACCTTTTTGTCCTGGGGACTGCGCTAAAATCTTGGAGACACATACTGTTCTAACTTACAAAATTTCAAAAGTTACAACTAGTCTTTCAGTAAAATGTTAGAGTTAGAAATTCTGCCATTTTGGGAATTGGATATACCTCTTCATTGAGTACCTGGTTGATCGGAAAATGGTGGATTTGATATTTATATCCGCCTTAAATTGTGTTTGAAAATAGCCATTAAAATGAATTCATAAATAGATATTATTTTCTAAAAACTTTATATTTTGTGTGAAAAGATTTGAAAAAAATTATTAAAATGTCTGTCATGCTGTTAACTGAAAAGGTTTATTTTTATAATAATGTTATATTCCTATCATGTTTATCTTATAATCTTTATATATTATTTCTCAAAAGTTTTTTTGTCGCTATGCCATATCTTCATCAATTCCAATGATTGATCCCTTATTTTGAAGATCTCCTTCACTTGTGAAAAATAGTCCACTAAAATTAAAGGGGAAAAAGTTATGAGGGAAAAGAAGCTTTACTTGCAAATAACTCAAAAAGTATACCTTTTTTTTTGGATTGTGCCCATGATTATTCGAAAGATTACTGAATTCCCTACAAAAAAAAAATCATCGCATTTGAACCATTATTAGCTGAGATACAGGCTATTGTAATTTGTGAACATTTTAATTTAAAAAATAAAAGAAGTTTTACTATAATTTCTTTTTCTTGGTGAATTACAATTTCTGAAAAAATGGGAAATGATTCCTTCATCTTACGACGAGTTGAATTATTTCTTTCTTGTTCATTTTGTCATTTGTCATCTGACCGATATTCTTAGTCAATTATTCACTTGGGCTACTAGTCATACTTGAATGCTCATATCTAAAATAGTAATAATACTTGATTAGAAAATTGTAAAGAAACTATGATATCGTTGGTACCATGTTAAAGTAACTGATGTGAGTCTGTTTAACACTTTAGCTGCTATTACGGTCCCCGGGGTCTGATAGCTTTATATCAGATGTAATGATTACTTACGTTTGTATCTATCTTTACGTCTATTCAACTCCCAATCAAATGACCATTTTAGAGACTTTGTAAGATAAGCAAAATTGGAAACAATGCCGGCCGAAGTCGAGATGAATATTGGAACCGGGGACCATAACCACAGCTAACGTGTTAACATTGCACATTTGTTACTTTAACATAGTGCTGACAATATGTTCTATCAACATCATAAAAAGGTAATAATCATATTTTAATTAGTTATAGTGAAGATAGTGTTATCACAATAACAGCGATTGTTGTTATCGATATTGAAACATTGGATTCAGCCTTTTGTTTATTATAAATTATGAGGTGTCAAAGAGCGAGATACTAGTGGTCCACAATAAATACAATAAGGCACCCTTATCAATGAGTTTTGGTTTCATTCACCACACCCCATAGTGCCGCCCCCCTCCCCTCATAACCATATTCTCATTAAAAAGATTTGCACTTATAATTTGATACTTTTTGGGTTAATTTATAACTTGTATTTGAATGTAAACAACTTTTTTTGTTTAACTTGCAGGAGCTGAGACATCACTGACAGTTTGGGTACATTATCCTTTGGAAAACGGATTTGTTAAAGATATAAATAAACCCACAGAAGAAATAATTATTAAAACTGAAGATGTAAGCAATAATAAGATAAAAGGTGATCAGATTGCAAGCAAATTAAACACCTTTCAGCAAAATATTTTCGGAAACTCAGACGTGATCAGCGACATTTCTCTTAATGCTAACATTGATTCATTTGAGAATGAAATTAGTTCGGGCGGTTTTAGTTTTCCTGAACATTCTTGCGATTCTGAATCTATCAGTAGTTTGTTTGATGAAATGAAGCATGAAGAACTGCAGTCGTTAACAAATTTCATAGCAGCTTATGGTGAATCAATTCACTCAAACCAAAACTTTGTCAAGGGAGATAATTGCAATGAAGTAGGACTTAATTCGGGTAAAAACAAAATCATGGAAGACAAAACAAATTTTGAAGGAACATCGTTTTCAAATAAAAATTTTCCAGAAACTAGTTCGGTTCGAAATGAAATCATGAAAATAAAACAAGAAATTGAAGACAAATTTTCGTCAACACAAAGTTTTCAAGAACTAAATTCTATTGAAAATAAAATCGTAGAAATCAAACCAAAAACTGATGAAAAATTGTCTGAAATAAATTTTAACGAGTTTGAAAGAGAAGGACTTTTTGTTGATGAATGCGCAGTTGTTGCTGAAGAAATAGTTATAGAAGATGATGAATGTGAACTTGATTCCAATAACGATCAAATTGAAGAAAATGGAAAAACAAGTTTGCACATACCTATTGATACCAAAGATTGTCAACAAACCTGTAAAAATCACATTACACATTCCTTATCTAATTCAAGCATTTTTTCTGAAACATCTAGTTTCGATTCATTAAAAAAACATGAAAATAATTCCTTTGCTTCTGAAATGTCATTGGATAGCATTGTTCAGCAGCTTGGAATACAAATTGATGATGGAAATAAATCCGCTCATAATATCGAGACCGATAAGTCTGGGCAGTTAAAAGATATAGAAGTATTATCAGTTCTACAAGATCAAAAATCAAATAAAATTATTCCCAAAAGTTCTATTGAAGTAATTAATGGCTTACCATTGATTAATAACAGGAAAGTACAAAAAAATACTGAAAAGAAATCGATGATAATAACTTTGCAGAAAGAAAATGGACAGATAATATTAAGGAAAGAGGCTAAAGTACAAAAATTCAAAGACAGCTCTCCGAAGAAAGGACCCGTCCCTGTAGAAAATAAATCTATTTTAGTTAACAATAAATCTTTAGTTAATTCAAATCCAATTCCTATCAAAAACAATCGAATAATAGTCGATGTTAAAAAGCAACTTGCTGCAAAGCTGCCTAACCAACAATCGAGTGCGTCGAAAAATGTTCCTTCTGCTTCAAGAATTACAGCTGTCAGTACTAATAGTTCTCTTCAGAAAAAATCTCTTCCTGGAGTCAGTATTCTTAAGAAAGCAAAAAATGTTAATAAAGAGGATCATTATGAAGACATAAGTAACCAGTAAGTTTTATATTTATGAATTTTAATTTAGTTAATTCTGTAATGGTTTATGATAAAACTTGGCGAATTATTGAATTATTGAAGGAAGTTAGTCAACTGTTCTACATATCATAGGTGATAAACAGTCAGGAAGCAGACATTTTTAAGAAAGCAAAAAAAGTCTACATGAAATTTATAAAAATATATTTAAAAAAACTTAAAAATGACTGTGTTCTGAATATTTATCACATACGATAAAACTTAAGGTTTTGTTAAATGAATCATTAATTTTTTTAATGCAAAATAAGTGAACAGCTACAATTTTAATATGTCTATTGCAATATGATTCATTTAAATAAATCTACTTTTTTGTAAAATGCGCCACAACCAAGGGCTCTCCTTATTGTTGTGTGCCACAACTGCAACTTCCCCCTCCTCTTCACCTCCAACTATTTCATGCCATCTTGATTTCTATATAGTATAAGCACTATTTTAAAAACATTTTCCCCTTTTGTAAATTTTGAGGAAAAATAGACAACAATTATTTATAAAATTAAAATATAGGAACTGGAATGGTAATTTTGTTACCTACCTACGAGGTGTGTAAATTAAGTAATGGGACTGATTTTTTCTAATTTTTTATTGAGATAAAATTACAAATTTCTCCTTCAAAGTAACTACCTCGGGAAGCCTCAGAGCGCTTCTTCCATTGCTTATAGTAGTGCTGGAACCAGGGTACTGGGGTAGCCTTCAGTTGGTCGGTTAGGGCTGTTTGAATATTCTCCTATGTACCAAAATGTCATCCCTTGAGGTGATTTTTAAATCTTGGGAACAGAAAAAAGTAACATGGACTCCTTAAGTCTGGTGAATAAGCAGGCGGAGGAGCCACAGGAATATGGTTACTAACCAAAAACTCATTGATAGAAACGGCCATTGTCGTGATGTCACACCCTCATTTTTTTAATGGTTGGTCTCGTATGTATGACCCTTTTTCAAAGTCTCTTGAGAACTTCTAGGTAAAAATGTAGATTAACCATTTGGCCTTGAGGCACAAACTCTTTGTGAACGATTCCTTGGCCATCTAAAAAGCAAAAAGAGGCTTGTCTTCAATTGTTTCTCTTCCTTCTGAAAATGCTTTAAACCACCTAAAAACCTCGGCTCTGGTCTCGGCAAAACATTGTCTCAATAGACCTTAAGCAGTTTTTCAAATGTGTCCATTGCATTCTGTCCAATTCTGAAGCAGAACCTGATAGTCGTTTTTGGAACACCTGTACCACTACAACCCATGAAGGGTCTGGGGGTTCAGTACTATTTAGGGAAAGCACTGTTTCTAGGTCAACGGTTGTGCAAGGAGGTGATTTGACCGAGATCACGCTCAACCGCCAGGTTTTCCCCCTTAATTAATTATTTAATTAAGGGTACCCACTTTATAGAGGCTGGGTGTGCCCCAGGAGGGACTCCTGACCCAAGGTCGCCCCACGGCCAATGAAACAGATAAATAAATTATCTGCCATGAGCCGGGGTTCGAACTCGGGACCTTTGCATTTGAAGCTCAGTGCGTTTTTGGAACACACTTTAAAAAAATCTTTCTCATAATAAAATTGATTACAGACAGCCCTACAATTCTTATGTGTTCAAACTTGTACTGGATCGAACACTAGAAAATCAAGTCTTTATTTAATTTACAAATCTCGTATGTCAAGCATGCTGAGTTTAAAAATACCCTTTCATCCTAAAAGGAGAATTTTGATTGAATTATGATAATATAATAAAAAAATTATAATGATATTCAAATAGCTACCGTTAGGCCTTCATGCCTACTCCAATCTCCAGAGGCGTTAAAAATGACTCCATTTTGTTTAACCAGTGATATTTTTAAATTGATTCTTGGATTTTTCAGGAAGTTGTAAAATCAATCATGAAAAAGCTTACTATTCCATAACTTAGGAAGGCTCTCCAGTCAGGTTTTCCTTTTGTTCTTATCAAAATAGGTTTAGCACTGCATTGTTATAGTATATTTTAACGTGTTCTGAGTCTTGTTTCCTGGTATTGGCAAGCCTTAAATTATAAGCTTATGATGCCTCCATGTTCCTTGAGAATATACAGCACAGCATACCGACCAAGGGTTTGTATGTTTTTGCCTTGATTAAAAATTCTTAAAGAAACAATGCATCCTTTTAAGATCAATATCACTCCAATTGAATAGGCTGAGCAACATCTCCTGAGCTTTCATCAACTTTGCTGACACTAAATTTCTTTTTATGAGTCTACAAACATATTTAATATTAATTATCATTTATCGTGTTTTATTAGCATTATGACAAAAACTTTACTTTTTAAGTATCACTACAATAGTAGATTAATGATTAATTATTATGTGTTCTTTTAATTTTAGCGATTTAGTTCGGCAGTGCCCCATTCAGAATACTGAAATAGCTGTTAACTGGTTAATGAAAAAGTTTCCACTTGTAGATACCAGGTCTACTAAAGCTGCCTTTCATGTGAGGCATCCGTATTGTGCTAAAGACAGAGATGCATTTCTTAACTGGCCGTTTGCAAAACAGCGAGCCGCCGAAGTAAGTACCCATTTTTCAAAAACTTATTTATTTATTAATAGTTAATTTTTTCTGTCTCGATGTATTCTGGCTTTACATAAATTATCATATCTCACAGACGCCAAGAAATATTGATACAATTTAAATACCAGTGAACTGTAAACTATAAAAACTGGAATGCTTAGGAATGCTAATTTGAACACAGAGTGATGTTTTAAGTATTCAATCCGCTCTCACTAAAAGTGTTTCAATATTTCTTGACATCTGATGGGGCTAGTTACAAACATTTTGTTTGAATCTTGTAGAAAATTGTTTATTAATAATTTTAAACTATACTGTTTTTATGTTTTTTTCTGTCATTTTTTGAGATTCTAATTTTCCAACATGCTTCCTGTAAAAACATTCAGTCAATTTAATTTTCTTTAATTCTTATGTATACAGTTATCAATTTTATGGATAAATAAAAATTCTTTACCAATGGTAATAACATTGTTTTGGCTAAAATGTACTGGAAATGAGTTTTATAAGAAATGCTATACTTTTCCTTTGTGTTTTTAAATTGACGGAGTGAAAGTTCAAAAACTTGGGTTTAATTTGGAAGAAGAATCAATAATTTCAACAAATCAGGAAATCACTAGACAAAATCAAAATATAATACTTCCTTGTACAGATATTTATTATTGTTTGAGATTTTACTTTATGGGATAGAGATTTCCTTTTTTTAATCTACCATTACATTTTTAAAAATTATTTATTAATTGCTTAAATCAATTATTTGAGTTAAACATAATTGATTATATGTTGGAATTAGTATAATTTTAGTTTTGAACAATTTTGTTTATTTTTACCTATAGATTTTATTAATTATGTATGAAATTATTATTAACTAAAGTGAACATTTTTCTTACATATTTTATATTTAATAGATAACCATTTGGTCTAAAATAAAATTATTTCAAAAGAAAAATATCTATTTTGTTTTATTAAAAAATTAATCAAAGATAAGATTGGGCTGTTCAGTCAAAAATACACGAAAATAAATAAATTATTGGTATATAAGTAAGAATATTTTTTCCCCAGTGATTTATTGTCCCAATCATTCCACTCCATTACATCATAACGTTTAGGGATCCACTTATATCCCATCTTCAGACAGTATCCCGCATCATCTTATTCTCCATAAGACTTGTCATATTAATTAAATTGTTTTATTATTGTCAGATTTATACAGTGGAAATATTTATATTCATTTTTGCCGACGTTTTGGCCCAATGTTCAAGCCTTTATCAGGGCTAAGAAAAAAACAGATAACAATGGGTATGAGAAACTAATAACATTAAAAAGAAAATAATAATATGTAGGTAAAAGGTATAATCTAAAAAATGTAGGTAGAATAAACTTAAAGTAAAATAAAGTAGGTAGAATAAAAATAAAATGAAGTAGATAGAATAAGCTTAAAGGAAATATAAAATAACTATGACTAAGTTAAGAATAGAAAGTTACGTAAGCAATGCTAAGAAATATAACACAATGGTAACTAATTTAGCAAATTATGAATAAAATAATAACTGTAACAGAGAACTATGAAATAAGTAATAACGGCGCCTAAATTGAGAATAATGAAATAAGGTAACATAAAAAAAAATGAAAATGAGTTAACAACGAAATGTAATGGAATATATGAGATGAAAAATTTAAGTATAGGCATAAAATAAATGAGGTGACGTAATTGCTAAAGCATATAATTTATTTTTTTTTACCGAACACCCCAACCAATCTTTTCTTAAAAAATAAATCTTTTATTTGAATTTAGTAGGTGAAGTTTATTGAAAGAATACCCAGACGTTATGTTGCTGTATGATTTTCTAATATAATATTATAATAAAACTAAACAGAAAGGTATCTTTTTATTCTTCTAATCTAGATTCCTGTATTATCAAATGCCAAAATTTATGAATTAAAATAAGTGTTTACTAAATCTATAATAAGTGTAATTATTTAGTAAAGCTTAACTTTTAATTAATGGTTTATTTTACATTATTTTGTTACAGTGGATGAGAGCCAAGTCGATCGGTCGAATTCTGAATGAAATTCCTCATTTAGAAAAGTGGACGACGTTGGAAATTTTGGACTGGGCTAGGGTCAGGTGTTATACCCCTATAAGAAATATTCCAGGTTGTGTTTATTTTATTTTTATTTCTCTTTAACTTGTTAATATTTTTAAAAAGAAACATAATCTAATTATTATATAGAATATGATGGTCCAATTGTAGAACCTGCATTGGATTTCGTCTACCGTCCTAGAATTGATGGTGTCGTGGAATTATTAAAACAAGATAAAATACTGACTGAAAAAGAGATTGTGGATGTTACCAGTGAAAGTCCAGCTAAAGGAGAGGTCTCAAGTCCTGGTAGAAAATTTTATTTATTTTAATACAGTATATTAGGTTAAAAAAATGTAATAATAATTACATTTTTACTTATCGCATTATCTAATTTGACATTTTTAAATGATTTAAGTCATTTCTTTTCAACAATGCAAATTATTACGGTTTTAAACCAACATACATTATTTATTGTAGAAAAAGTTACTTTTTGGTAAGGTCAGAATGCAAAAATCAGTCAAAATCAGTAAACTTGTTTTATATTTGGGAAGTTATATTTTGGAGGTTGCAGTCAGAGAGAAACAAATTTTTAAAATATAAATCTTTTGTTTTATGGAAGCACAATTGCCTGTTTTCAATTGTTAAGAAAGCCTCATATCCACCCATAAACATTGAAATAACCCAATGCCTTAAAAAAATTATGTACAGTTCCTTGGATTCTACTTAAACAAAAGACTTATTTGGAACATGCACATGATTTTAAGAAGTCAAGACAAGAAAAATCGGCACTATGCTCAAGTAACAAATGATAACTTGCCCAACTTTGCACATTTGTTACTTTATCATGGTGCCAACGATATAACCAACTCTCATATTTTCTGGACTACAGATTCTCAATCAACTTACGTAACAAGTTGCTCATCTACGACATTATACCGAGACCAATTGGGACATATGGAGTAAAACTTTGGGGTTCAGCAAAACAAACACACATAAACAAAGTACAAGCAGCACAATGAAAAATTCTACAAAAGTTTTTTAACATACCTTGGTATATTTCAAATAACACTATACATAACAGCTTGAATATTCCAACAGTAAAATCCTACATCCACGACAAATACACTGCATTTCATTCCTCAACTCAAAATCACTTCAATCCACTAGTTCTTTCAATTTCCTCCTCTCTGTTACCTGCTTTACACAGATTAAAAAGAAAATTGTCTAGAGAGCAACTCCTTCAATAAAAAAAATATTGAAGCAAATCCTCAGCAATGTTGAAGTAAATTCTCAGCATATAATTAGTACATCAAATTTACTAAATATGCTACCATACAGGTACAAATAACGTAGAGTATTAAAATAAATAAATGCAAGCACAAAATATAATAGAAATTATATTTATTTTTATTTATGTTTCTCATTGACTTTAATCCCCAAATTAACAGTATTACATTGTCAACTAAATTTCTTAACCATTATACACTTATTTTAAAGTGTTCAGTGCCAATTTCGGTGTTATAGATAAATAACGTAATGCATTTGAACATATAGAGAAGTTTAGTATTTATGGTCTACTCCAATTACTGTAAAAAATGTCAACTAAAAAAATCGAAGAGGAATTAAGAGATTGAAGGAAGAAAATGCTTGTTATTTTTCTGTTGTTAAATTTCTTATCTCACACCTCTTATCCAGAAACTTATAAATTAGAATTTTCAAAACTATTATCTTTCCTATAGTTGTTAATGGATGTGAAACATGAGTGCTTATATTAAGGTATGAATGTCTTAAGGTTTTTGAAAATTAAGTATTACGTAGAATATTCGACTAAAGAATTTATGTGGCTATTTAATTCCAACGAATAAATTTAAATGAATGGATAACATTATGGCAAATAAAATGGACGTGTAACATTGTTCAACTTAAGGTTGAATGAATGAACCCTAAAAGGTTAGTATGAGCAAACCAGAGGATTGTGTTGAGGTTGATCTGGCGGGATTAGGTTTGGATGTAATTATATTGGCAGCTATTAGTGGTATCGGCATCAAACCTTCGGGTTAGTCAAGTCTTCATGATTTATTTATTATTCCATAGCGTGCCCATATTTTAGCCTAAATTTTAGACATTCTTAAGAGCAAGAGGTGAAGAAATTCTAAAAGTTTCGTAACATCTCTGCACCTGTCGGCCTGATGGAACAGCTCATATTAAACTAGTATATTTTGAATTTCCTGAGAAATCACTTTCAGTCAAATTTAATTTAATATTTTAGGAACTATACTTCCTTTATTAATATATTTTCATAAATCATCCTATTAATCTTAGTTGTACATTGACGTGTTCATTAGATATTTTGAAGTGGAAACTTCTTTAGGCGCGTTTTGCACTTTTTTATGGAGAATGAATTAGATTGATTCCTCAGATTTCTGATTTGTAACACTCGGGTAATTTATGCTGGAGTCGATTAATTGAAGTGTTTTTGCATATGAATTAAAATATCTTAAAAATTAAAAATCGGACCTGTATACCGTAAGCAAGGGAATTGTTTAACATTTCGTGCTCTCTGTAACGGGCTGTTTTTCAAAATTGTATCTTAACAGGACGCTGTATTATAGAGGCGAAAAGGAAAAAATAGTGTCAAAAACCAAATGATGATAACGAGTTTTTTGGAAGATATGGATTAAAATATCTCAGAAACTAAAAATCAGACCTGCATATTGTACGCGAGGAAATGTTCAGTATTTCATCCATTTTATATTGAGTTATTATTTATAATTTATATTTCATATTATTAATCTCACTTTGTTGATGTTTTCACTTCTACCATCCTAGGCACACAAATTAGTTTGTTTTTTTAAATATCTTCCAAGATTAGAAATATAATTTCTGTGTGTTCTTTAATGATTCTCAACCAAATTTTCCTGTAGTCAACAATATCTCCATATTGTCTTATTAATGTTTGAAATTACGATTCAATTTTATTGATTGTACACAAATTTATTTTTTAATGTTACTAATAATTAATAACATTAAAAAATAAATAATTATTATTATGGAATACTTTGTAAATAATTACTGCATTTCATATTGTGGAGTAACTTTGAACTGTATTCTTATATTAAATCTTCTATCTTTCGTCATAGTCCTTAATTACTATTACAACAATTAATATAACTTACCTTTACTCTTTTTTTAGCTGATGTGGAGTCTGCTGGTACATCACAGGGCATTGCCAATAGTAGTAGCATCGTGTTACCCTCGGATAAAGAACTTGAAGGATTTTCAAGTTTTGTGAACAAGTGTATGATGAATAGTGTTGGTAAAAAGCCTTCCCACGAAGAACTGTTGCCAGATGTACGATACCCAGCTGTCCAGCGTGTATTGGTTTCTGTCTTCTCATCAATCGCCGAAGAGTTGGTTAGGAGATCTTACAATGCCAGCTGGATAAGGCATTGTGACAAGTGAGTATATTCTAAGGTTATGCTGAATATATTGTATTGTAGTATATATATATATATATATATATATATATATATATATATATATATATATATATATATATATATATCGCTACTGTTAGTGCAAAAGGTCGTATGTAGCAATTTTGCATGATTATTCTCTTTAACATTTTGTAGTCTGCAAAGTAGGAAAATAGCAGAGGGAAAGAAAATATGAAATTATACTAATAAATCATAAAGAAATAATCAGTTTTGCTCTTCATTTTTCGCTTCAATGCATCGTTTAAGAGTTATAGATGAAAAACCCAAAAAATCTTACTTTTTTGGCTGTAAAAAGTTTTCCCTTGGTGGTCTGCGTTGGCGATTTTGTTTTTTACATGTCTAAACCCATATATACAAGTTAAAAAAATAAAAACTTTTCTCACATTTTTCGCAATGGATTTCTCGTTTCGATCCTCAAATTATTGGCCTCATATTCTTTAAATCAGCCGCCATTTTTGAAAGCAGCGGCTCCGGAACGGCACACAAGGTTCTTTTTATTCAGAATAAGATACACTTTCGTAATTTACAATCAAACCTTCGCCTGCTGTCAGGTCGATTTTTGGGCCCTGGCTCCAGGGCTATGATGCCTTCTCAAGATAAATCCAGTCCTATTTTTTCACACTCAGTGATTGTAGCTACACTTACTCGAAAAAATTTTGCTGGATTTCGCTTTAATTTAAAATTATGCAATTCTCATGTAGCAAAATAATAGTTAAGAAGTTTGTATATTTGTATGATACTAGTGAAATAAAATTATCTTTTTAAGAGATGACAAAAATAAAATGCTCTTTTACTTAAAATAGTATGTAACCAGTAAATTGTTTATATTTTTTCATGTTTAAATATTTCTTTATTGTTTTATTTTTAACGTATATTTTTTAGCCCTCCTCCTGAAATCAGTATTACAGACGTCCAAGCAGCCATTGTCAGCAGGAAAGAATTTGATTTTTTGCTTCCTCTTAGTGAAAATAAAGGAAAGGAACAAGCCTCAATTATGTCGTATTTCAGGTTGTAATAATTTATTTTTACATCGTTGTTTCATTTATGTATCTTAATTGAGAAGGTTTTCAAAATAAAAATAAAAATAGTTTTCAAAAAATTTTAATATTTTTTTTGTTTTAGAACTTTTCAATGACAGTAATTGTTTGACCATTTTCAGGAAGTAAAACTGTTACCATCCAATTGGAATGTTGTGTTTTGCAACCTGCCGTTTGAGCCAGTTTGTAAGGGAAGAGAAGTAAGAAAGTATCGGCCTTGCAGATAGTTTCTTGTATCTTCCGTCAGAAAATTCAGCCAGAAGTTCGTACCACGTTTTGATATTTCCTTGAGCCATCATTTTCCTAAACGGGGTCATAAGACAGATAATTGTTAGTAAATTGTCAGCATTTATTGAAGTCAAATTCAATTTCAGGTAAGTTGGATATGATTCTATTAAGAATAAAAATTTATATGAATAAAATTAAAGATATACAGTTGAACTTCTCTCAACCAATATTGGGAAAGAGGAAGGGTATCTTGCATAATATAGGGATAAAATACCTTGCATATATTGACAACAGAATGTAAAAATATATAGGCTAAATGGTGGTAGTAACTGCTGAAATGCTTAAGAAATATAAATCAATATAGCGTTTATGATTTTTACTTTCATTTTCCCTTTGTCTGAAAATTCTAATTTCTGCTTATGAGAGGGTGGCAAGTGAAAGTTGTGTGTTATGCGCGCACCGCACCAGATGTTTAAATTAGCATATATAATTTCTCGATGAAATTCCTTTTTGTTTGATAACTCATTCATCAAAATCCATAGCTCATGGATATATACCAAAATGAAATGAAAATATTTTTTATTGTGTATACTGCTGTGTTATGTATACATAGTGTAGATTAGGCAAATCAAACAAATAAAATGAATGTCAAATGTTCAATTTGAATGTCATATTATGCCACTTCAATTTAAAATTTCATAGCAACACAATGTCTTTTAACCGACTGATGAAGTGTATTGAGATGAGGGTTATATAGAATTTAAAATAATTTCTATCGGTAAGTCGTTTCTTTTGCATGAATCCATTGGTAGCTCCTAGCCTGGTTATTAGAAAGTTCAGTTAAGGGAAGTTTTATTGTAAAATAGTGAAATACATCTTTGGTTAATTTAGAGAGTTGATAAAATGGGAGATTATACCCTATTTTAGTGTAGCCCAAAATCGGTTTTGCACTTTGCATAAAAAAAGTGTTTTTGGAAATAAAAATTAAGGCAAATTAGTTACTAATACTAGACAGTTTTAGTTACTCTATATAAAGAATTGGTAGAACCAATATAGTTTTACACTTATGCGTTTAATGAATTGTCAAGTTAATTTTATTATTTTGGTTGGACTTTACTATGTCTATGATTATGTCAATAAAATATCTAAATGTACCTGTCCTGTAGCGTTCTTCTAAGATCTAAAGTGACATCTTTAATAAGTATCAATAATACTCGTCTTGGTCTTACATTTGGGCAACACTACTGTATTAAGAATACATACTGTATTTTTAAAGGAAGGAGATGGTCCGGGGTGGCGGTCATAAATAGACTAAATAGTGACAAAACTATTTTATTAAAAGCCGACATTTCGACCCGACTTTGCAGGTCTTCTTCGGGGCTAGAATGGACAAGATACAAAAGATAGAGAATTGTGGAAGTTACATAATATTTAGACAAAAACTTATAAAAAATGTGAATAAGCTTATTAAAATTATAAACAATAAGTACATTAAAATATAAACAGAGTAAGCTAAGTAACAAGATCCTAAACTGAAGTAAATAGATGGTAACAATTGTTGTGTAATAAATAATATATGCAAATGTGAATATACTTCTACAGATCTACAGGAGAGATTGAAAGAAAAGGAAAACGGAAATAATAGACATAAATGAATGTGGAGAAAGAAAACCAAAAAATTAAAACAATAAGTAAATAAAATTAGAGATTTACAGGTGTGTTCAGCTAGGAGTTTCACTTAGTGACACACACCTGTAAGTCTCTATATTTATTCTTCTAATTTTATTTACTTATTTATTTATTTTATTTTATTTCCCCACATTCCTTTATGTCTATTATTTCATACTATATCCTTTTTCCTTTTCTTTCTATCTCCTGTAGATTTGCATATATTATTTATTGCACTACAACAATTGTTACCATCTATTTACTTCAGTTTAGGATCTCGTTACTTAGATTGTTTATAATTTTAATAAGCTTATTCACAATGTTTATAAGTTTTTGTCTAAATATTATGTAACTTCCACAATTCACTATCTTTTGTATCTTGTCCGTTCTAGCCCTGAAGAAGACCTGCAAAGTCGGATCGAAACGTTGATTTTCAATAAAATAGTTTTGTCACTATTTATCCTATTTATGACCGCCACCCCGGACCATCTCCTTCCTTTATAATGCAACGGCCAACTATTAAATATTCAATATTGTATTTTTCATTCTCTTTATAAACATTTAAAACAAATTGTATTATACACTTTCTTTTATATTTGTTTTTTTTTCTACACAGGTGTATCGATAAACATACAATTTTAATTTTTGAATTGACTGGACTAATTCACAATTCTCTGGGAATCTCTAATAGTCCTCTTAAGTCTATATAATATAAGGTAACCTTTTAGTATATATATTTTTATTTCTAGGAATTATTAAATTAAACGAAATATTATATTTTTGGAAAATTTTGTATTGTTATAAGTTTAAATTTTTCAAATTTGGTTTTCCTATTATATAATTGATGTAAATCTTGATGTTAAATAAGAAAGTTTAATATGTATTATTTAATCACTTACTATATTCAGTTAATTTTGTATTAAATTATATACGGTGTTATTACTGTCAATAATGTTTCAGTCTGTTCATAAAGATTAGGTGCCATTCATTGTTTTTTATTTATATTTAAAAATAATAAAATAAAATGAACATTAAAGTATTTTGTATAATTCTTAATAAATCATGGAACCTGTACTTTTTTCTTTAATTCTTTTCTGTAATTCAGTTAATTATCGAAAATAATTTTTAAAGGCAGTATGATATATTTTTAATATTTTTATGTGTTAAATTTAATAATAGTATTTTAAGTTTTCTTTGTAAATTAGTTTCTTTAAGAAATTCATTGTCTGTGATAAATTTATTAAGATATATCTTTTTAACTACAATCAAAACTTGTATCAATATTATATTTGTATTAATTAAAAACTGTGAATAAGGAAAGATGTAAATACTGTAAATATATTTAGACATTTTGTACATTGAATTGTTTATTAATTGTTTGCCTTGTTAAAAAAAAAATTATTGGTTGATGTGCTATTTTTGCATTACTATTATTTTGTAATTGACATTTGTTTTATTTTATTAAACTTATGTTTTATAAATTACTGTTTTTCATTTCTTGGGATCCCAAAGATGAATCCTACAAGACAATTCATCAAACGTTTTAGTTTCACCTCGAAATCCCCGGAGACGTCCCCATATACCATACAGCAATAGTCGAAATGACGAAATATTAAGGAAGTAATTAACAGTTAACGGGTTTCAAATGGAAATAGGTGGCGGAAGTAATTTAGTTGTTTTAAAATGGAAAAGGCACAGCAGGAAATATTATATGGAGTGTAATTTTATTGGTGTCTGGAACTTAGGGAAGTGATAATACACCTTAAATGCAATGGAAAAGTGCTTATTATGGTGCGTCTTAAAACAGGATTTCTTAAAAGGTTTTTATATTTTTTGTTAAATAAGAAGTGATAATTTAAAAAACTGTTAAAATCAAAAAATTCTCCAAGGTTATAAATTGTTTTAAAAAATAAATGGAATCCATCTTTTAAAAAAACATTTTTTAACATGACTTTTAAGCAGCTAAATCACACTAAGTTCTACTTTTCATAATATTGTTGATAATTCATCGTGATTTTTTTGTTATCAGTCTACCCTATTGTACTTGAGTGTATCCACTTTTAAAAAACTTGTTTGTTTAATAAGCTTAAAGTTCATGTTCATTAAGTTGGTATTTGTTGCAGAATAAGCTCTGAGATTCACTTTTAATTTTATTAAGAATTGTGTGATGCGAAATACTATCTCCTCAAAGTACTAGTGTTTTCAGCTAAATAATTACAATAAATTGCTACAAAGCATTTATTTCCCTATGGTTGGGATTTATCGTAAAAAATTAATTATTAAAATAAAATATTTATATTTGAATATTCATTTAATTACTAAAATAAAATATTTATATTTGAATATTCATAAAATTTATAAAAAATATTTAACATAGGTGTAACAAATGAAATTATTTTTTAAAAAATAATAAAGTTAACTCAAAGTTATAAAATTTAATAATAATAATTAATGTATTAAAGTTAATGTAATGAAAAAGTTTATACTACCGTAATTTGTTTCCTCCTTCTTTGTAGCCGTAAAGATCGCACAAATGTAATGGTGTCTTTTCAGATCCAATTTCGTTATATTTTGATTTGCAAAGTATATCAAGAAATTGAAATTGAAGGAAAGAGCTCAAGAAATACCTACAATTTTAATGAATTGATTATAATCTATAAGATGTAGTTTTAAAACGTACGTAAAACATACGTTTTTTTTTATAGTTGTTTGAAAAACTTACCTTATGTACGGTGTGTTATCAGCGACGTGGAACTTGGCTATTGGGTCGAAGCTGTAAGGTCCTCTCGGGAAAGGAGGTTTTATGCCCTCATAGGCTTGCCTGTATTCCCACCATGCCTTTAACAGAGGAATTTACAAATTAATGAACTCTATCGATTATAAACTAGTTCTAAGTGATTATTTAAGAACATCTTGTTGATCCATGATACTCAATGTACGTGATGCAAATTGTAACAGTCACGGTCGTAATTACTACCATCGTACAAATGAAACTTTAATCCTAAGACAGTAGCATTCAACCAGTGTTCTGTGATTCTCATCCAAGTGTTCGGCAAAATAATTTATAAGAAATTAAATGTTCAAATAGTCCGAATTTACTAATTTTGAAATTTAGTAATAATAATACTATATAATACCTATGAGAGTTACAATTTTGGTTTTATTATTATGAGGGAAGAGATGGTCCTGAGTGGCATTAAAAAAATAAATAAAAAACTAATAGTGTAAGCTATTTATTACCTACATTTCGACTAACTTTGCTGGATCGACTTCGCTTCATCAGGGCTAAATGAAGAATTTACAAGACAATTTGGAATATTTTGTGTTTACAGTTAATATTAAAAACATACAGAAAAAGAAATAACTAATAATAGATTAAATAAATAGCATAATAACTAATATAGAGCGAATTATGAATTGCTAGACATGAATTGACACTGATGATGAATTAACAACAAATATAGTATAACAAAACAATGTAAATAAAGAGAAAGGAAATACTTTTTTCTTTTTTTTCCTGGGAAGTTGTCAATTTAGTTTAGTTGCTTGGCAATAATAACTTCCAATTATTAACAATTCGAGTATATTTTTAACGTTACATGTTAACAGTCTAGTTTACATTTCGGGACCTTTTATTCCCATCTTCAGAACTGCAATTCCAATACTCTTGTGGATGCAAGGCTTAATTCTAATAATAATAATACTGTGCTCCATCGTCAATTTTCTAATTTATGTTCTAAAATTTATCATCTGGAGCAACATTCTCCTTTTGACCAATAATTGCAGAATTGACTATTGACTATGGCAGAAACCCAATTATTGGTCAAAAGGAGAATGTTGCTCCAGATGATAAATTTTAGAACATAAATTAGAAAATTGACGATGGAGCACAGTATTATTATTATTAGAATTAAGCCTTGCATCCACAAGAGTATTGGGATTGCAGTTCTGAAGATGGGAATAAAAGGTCCCGAAACGTAAACTAGACTGTTAACATGTAACGTTAAAAATATACTCGAATTGTTAATAATTGGAAGTTATTATTGCCAAGCAACTAAAAGAAAGGAAATAGTTTTTTCAGTATGGATGAGCTTAAATGAAGGAGAAAAAAATCTGTATATGAAATGAAAAAAAAAAATATGTAGATCTATTTTCATATGCTGAATTTTCTGAAACTTTATGTTTTTTTTATCCCTCTGTACTCTTAAAATATCACCTTTTTATTTCTTTACATTGTTTTGTTATACTATATTCATGATTTATTAATCATCCATCATTTATTAGGTTATTTCAATGCTTTATCAGTATATATTTTCATCAGTTATATTCTACATTGTTTTGTATCATGTGCTTTTAGTCCTAGTGGAAATATGCATAGTGGTTCGAAACATAGGTTTCAATAAATAGTTTACATGATTTAAAGTTTTTGACTTTGATCACAGGCGTTTTTGATTGCTGCCCTTCATCATCTCTCACACAAGATTTTTACTTCTAAAACCAATTTTTTTTTGTCAGCTAAATTAATTTGATATTGAACATTAGTTTATTTATGAAAAATAAAAATATCGGTGTATAATGTTGATTGCTTTGTGGTGATCGTAAAGAACCACATTAATAGTATTTTTTTTTTAAATTAATAATATTATCATGGTGCGCGGCAGAATTCTATCAAATCTGCTCTAGTAACAAAAGTGTTGCAGTTCAGTGCCTGCCTTAGACCTTTGCCGCCCCCAGGAAATGAGATCATCTCTTCCCCCTCCTAAAAAAGTTAAATTTATTTCTTAAACTGTTTTATATTACGTAATATTTGAATTTTATTTCATCAAATATTTCTCTAATGCAGTTTCTTTATTAAGAGGTTAGAATTAATTATTTTAATACGTTTTGTATTTTTTTAATGCCTAACAAATGGCGAGCACCCTGAGGTAATTGACAAGGATGCCCAGTCCTGTGGTTGGTAACCACTGCCTTAAGATGGCAAGAATACCCTTCTACTTCTTGGTGTCCCACGCTCATTACCTTCCAATATCTTTCACATTAGTTAATTATCATTATTACTAACTGTGTTGTAGTCTGCTGATGTTATGTTTGATGCCATAACTCCCCACCTCCATTTGTCTACCACCAGGCCAAAAGGGATTTGTGGTATCTTTTTCAATGCCTGGTACATCAACAAAGGAAATTCAAATTCTGAAAAAAATTAAAATTAATAATTAATAATGTTTTACATTAAAAAAAAAATTGATTGATGAATTTTAACTACCTTCATCCAATTCATTAAATATTCCGAGCCTTTTGAGGTGAGAGGGTGTTTCCACAGCCAGCATGATCGTATCCCCGATTGTCTCTTGGAAAGCTGAATTCGCACCGTCCTTGAAAGTATATAATTAATAAAATAATATAAACAAAAATAAAGATGTAAAATCTCAAGGTGTAAGTATTTATTTATTTGTGTTTATTGTTGCCTCTACCCTGTAGGAACATTGGAAACTTTTGCTTATACTGTATCATAGAATATCATAATTTTTAAAAATGTTCAAAGTTTTTTCCATGGCTTTTTTTTGTCAATCAGGTTTTCTTTTGGGCTCTGAGCCATATCTAATTTTTTCTTATATTTTTAAATATTGGGCAGTCTTGGACTATTCTTTGCATTTTACAACTCTCACATGTTGGTGAATCCATTCCTCATAGTAGATAGGCATGTGAAAATTCACAATGCCCAATTCTTAGTCAAGAGAGGACTGTCTCTTCTTTTGTAGACAGTAAGTAATAACAATAATAATAGAGAGTAAGGAGTAAGTAATAATCAAGTTTTGATTTTAAGGATAACTTTCAAAGCATTGCTATACATTGATTCCGTAACCTACAGTTGTACAGATCCCTTTTCCAAATCTCAGGAGCAGAGGTGCCCAGGAGAGGGTTTGATGTCACAAGTTGCGTCATCAAAATTTTTGAGGGGTGTTCATTTCAAAAGGATTATGAATTTTCGGATTTAAAAAGTTTCAAACCTGTGTACTAGAGGAAAGAAGAAGGAAAGGAAACAGACCACTGAAAGTGTAATTTTATATGAACTATGATTTTTTAAATGTTACTTTAGCTTGCTCTGTTTACAAGAACAAGAGAGAAATAAAATATTTTGGGAAGAGGGGGGATCGACATTGGGAGGGTGGGCACCTCTACTCAGGAGCGACGGGTTCTGATAAATGCTCAAAAAAAATTCTCATTTCATTTAGAAGCAATACAAATTCCAATCTTGATTTTTGAATTATTTATACAATTATAATAAAAGTGATAATTGAAAAATGTTGGTAATTAAAAAATTCCCACAGTGATAAGCCAGCGAACCCAAATGGAACATTTACTACAAAATTGTTGTATTTTTGGAAATTAAAAAAAAAACTCTAATCTCTTTTGGTTTTAGATTTCCTCATATTATCAATATTGTTATGTGAATATTCATTGAAGACTTCAATGAGACAATTTTATTGTAAAATTTGGCTAATTTATGTTTGTTTTAGTTTTCATGAATAAGAAATTTAAATGATTAAAATATTGCTGAAATCAAAAAAGTATTATGAACTTAATCAATGTAGGTAATTAATTTTCACTACTACCTGAAATATCGGTGGCAAATTTTCGTAAGCCATGAAATATTGTATGTGGCCCATCTCATGGTGTATGACATAAAAATCATCCCAGGTTATATTTGCACATACAAGCATTCTGAAAAATATAAGAAGGAATGGATAGTAAAAGAACAAAATTTACAGGTTTTTTTTTATTATTAAAAAAGTTCTTGTGCATGAATCTAACTAAAAATGAAGTCTATAAAGTTCTATTCACGACTGTGTGTCATCTGCTGTTGGTAATTGTATGCGTGTAGTGCGATGTATAAAAATTGAAAACATATCACATTAAACAGTTGAAAAATGTATGAAATTTTAGAGCTTTTGGAGAAAGATGACAATTTAACTTATTTGTATAAATAGCATATTTACTAGGCAATAGAATAGGAAAAAATTTAAATGCAGTTTTTTTTTTTCATATAGAAGATAAAATTTATATTTGATTAATACAAGAAAGAAACTACCGCACATTTAGTTCAGGAATTTTTTTTATGAAAAGGATTGATAAAATGCATCACAAAATTATGAAAAATTTGTGGAAGTGTCGGTTGGTTTTCACTGCTAGCTAACATTTAAGCACATTTCTATGGATTTTGAAAGTTATATAAAATTAAACAACCCTCTGATGACTTTCAATATTATTTTTGTAAAAAATATAATTAATATGTGCAAGGACAAACTTTGAATATATTTCAAATAAGGGTAATGAAAAAGCAAGTGAAAAACGTTGAAGCATATTTGTGTTGACTCAAGGAGAGAATCCAATTTATAGTTTAAATTTTTTACTGTTACCATATTTCATACTAAGGTTTCCCTAATATCTGTCCACATAATTCACTAATTTCGAAAAAAAAAAAAAAATGTATGCATCGCATTTTTATCATTATTTGACTCACCAATTTTTTATCATTTCATTTTATTACAAAGTCACAGGGAAGAAAATTGTTTTATATAAAATTTTTTTTAAGAATATATATATTACTTTACTATCTTATCTTCAACAATTCAAAGGCTAGAGCTATTATAGTATAGTAATTAAACTCTGAAACTATCTAGAATAACTTACTTTTCACAATTTTCGTTCTTACACAGCTCCTATTCGGTATATAAGATAGTATATATATGTAAACCAATGTATACACATGTATGTTGTCTTATATAGCGGGCCAGGATCACACTTAACCACTAGGTTTTCCTCTTAATTATTTTAATTAAGGGTACCCACTTTATAGAGACCGAGTATGCCCCAGGAAAGTCTTCCTACCCCATGGCCGATGAAACAGAATAAATAATTTGTATGCCATGAGCCGGGATTTGAACTTGGAATCTAGAGCATTGGAAGTCAGTGCCGTACCACTGAGCTACCGCACTCCACCAGAGAAAGGGAGACCTAGACATATCACTTAAACAGAGTTAAAAAATATTCTAAAATTATGCATTATTTGAAGTTTCCTAGGATAAGGAATTATTTTTCTATTTTTATTATTTACCTATAATCATCTTTCTCGTACATGTTGGCAGCCGTTCCGTGACACATAACTTTTTCGTTTTCGTTGCTGATGATGGAGTTCTTCCAGAACTTGCTGGTCATGGGTTTGAGGCCGAGGGAGATGTAAAACCTCTCTGCCTCCTTCACCATCGCGGTGACGTTCTGGTACTTGTTCTTGAGTCTCTGGTGTAGGTTGAAGCTGGTCGTGTTGAGGACAATGTCGATTATACTCTCCCAGCTCTGAGCCCACATGTTTCCTGAAATTTAAATAAGTGATTTTTATTTATCATTTACTTAGACAAGATTTTTCATCAAAGGACACCCACCTATTTATAATGAAGGTCGGATTTTATATATAAAGGTATATTTTGTTTCAAAAAGACGAGTTGATATCTTTATGAACAAGTAATTTTTTTTAATGCTGACCAATATTTTATCATTTTGTATATTTAGGCTCATAAAGCATTTATTATGCATATTTTTATTAAATGAATTTATTTTAGGCCTAACATAGTTTTAATTAATAAAATTATATTTTAAGTTAATTAGTTAAATTGGCAAGATGTTAATTATATTTCTTCCTAGCGCGAGAGGACTGCTCGAATGTTATAAATGAACATCAAATACAAATACACCAATGTATTAAAAATCCAACAAACAAGGCAAAAAATGAGGATTTATAGGATGTTGTGAAGTTTTTTAATCTATACCACAACATTTTGACTTCAAAATCAATGCAGTTGATTATCTCGATATGAGAATACCTTTTATAATTCAATTTTTTTTTCAAAACGACCTAAAACCATTTTCTCTAAAAATAACAAGTTGGTTTTCGGTTAATATTTGACATAAAATATATAAGTCGCGTCAACTTGGCCGATTCGGACAAGTTCCTAAACTCAGCCCTAATTCCGTTCTATGTAACCAACAAAACCCATGACATCAATACCCATACCAATATATACCATATACCAATACCATGACATCAATACCCATGTACACCATGACCTCAATATTCCATTTGTCCTTGATCTTATCCCGGAAACATTGTCAAAACTCCATCAGAACCTTATCAATCATCCAAATCCCCTAGCAACCAAATCACTATCTAGTTCCACTCATCCTTACAATCCTCCTCGAAGATTGAAGCGGCAGTGGCCCAGAGATCTTTTATAATATATATCTTGGAGTTATGGCAATGGCCAGATTCTTCACTCAAGACATGAGTGTATGTGGCTAAAGCGCTCTCGCTCAATCTCCACTGGCTTTAGCACGAGTGACGCGGTTGAGAGAGCAGTGCAGGGATCTCTCGGAGTTTCCGCTTTTCCTTCTATAGTTGGAGGAAGAAGCCTGGCTTGGGGTTCCCTACCTGATTGTATATATTATATATAGGTATGACTGTGTTTTTATGTTTTTAATTTACTTATCTTTAGGTTATTTAATTTTTTTATTGTACATAGCTTTTGATTATTATTTAGTTATCATGTTACTTTTATATTTTCTGTATATGTGGTGTGAATGTGTTCATATATCACATAAGTATTGTCCATGTGACAGAGTATTATATTTCTAAATAAATAAAATAAAATAAAAAATTTCCATCAATCGATTAAATCCAATAGCGATGAAGATTTATGCTGAGTTTAGGAACAGCCTGCTGGATTCCAATGGAATGTTAGTACTCCTGCAATGTTACATCACAAACGAAAAAGATAACGACTGTTCTCCTACAATTCCTACCGACTGAATTGTTGAATTTCAAAACAAAAACGCTGCAAATTATTTCACAATAGTTTATTATTTCCAAACAATTATACATCTAAAGTAACATTCCCTTCCGAATTACAAAGAAAAAAAAACAAAAGGTGATTTCAATTATTGGACGAAACTGTTTTTCTTTAATCATTAGTAATATGCTAAAAAAAAATTAGCATTAGTTCAGTAACACATTTAAAATTTAAAAACCAAACCAAGGATATAACATTTGGAGAAGAACACATAAAAAAAACCGGAGACCATATCTTTGCTACTAATTGTTCGATTTTAACGGGTTCTTTTTTGGTTTTTAGGAAATTTCGTAAATTCTTAAAAAACAATATACAATATCGACAAAAAAGTGTATACTTTTTAAGTTATTCTGAATTAAATTTTACGATCCCTCGTACTTTTTTTTCCAGCTTCTTTTCGTTGAAGTATGTTATGTAGATAAATTTGAAGGGCGTCAAGAAAATGAGTTTAGCGAAGTTTCATTGAAATCGGTACATTCGCTTAGGAGCTAAAGTCCATAGCAATGCATTTTGAAAGTAAAAGGCAGATAATAATGTTGATGAAGGAATATCATCCTCGGGTGACCTCTGATTTTATATTAAAATTTGAAAAAAATCGGTCCAGTAGCTTCGGAGAAAATGCGCGGACGGCGGACGGACAAAAAAAATTTTATTCGTTTTTCGAATTCTACGTGTCTTGAAACGTGAAATTCTCAAGGAACGGTCTGATGGGTTTCCGATGCCACGTATGAGCTAAGTGCTGAGTTTAGGAACTTCACCAAGCATGATGTTTTTTATGAATCCAGCTGTTATTGGCCTCATTCGATGCAAACTCTAATTATCTTTGTTTCAAGCAAAAATTGCCAAAAACATACTATTTACATGTGTTTTATTAGAAAACTGTTGAAGACTTCATTTACTCAGCTATAGTAATAAGAACTTTTTTGTTGAGCGCTAAACTTTCTGCAGAATCCTCGTATCTTTTAAAGGGCATCTTTTTCATGTAGACTAACATAAGTTTCCTATGTCAACATCGAACTCATACAAGATGTAGACCTCGATATAGAGGAGGAAGTACTTAACTATGTTTCGGGTTTAATATCAGGGAAAGAAGCGTGGGTTGCTTTATTGTTATTTATTTGTTTCAGTCGTACGTAAAGTGAGAAAAACATGTTATGCTAATTTAAGCAATTTCAGTATAAAGCCTTCCTACTTTATTAATGGTGACATTCGAGAAGAGAATAGAGAGCAATAAGATAGGGAGGGACATCCAAATCAAGATATAGGATCTAGAGGAGAGGGACAAATTAACTCAAGTAGGGATCAGCTGTTAGACGTAGCCAATGGCTCTTCTATTTTCATTAGGTTTATCTTTCGGTGGCTCTGCAAATACCTCCGCTTCCTTAATTGAAGTCCCTGTTGACTTTACCTCTTCCCGCTCATTGCCTTCTAAATTATTTATAAAAGGTTTTTTTTTTATCCCCTACTGTACCAAAAAACATAATTAAATTTCTTCGAAAAAAAAAATAAATGCCAGTTCCACGTTAATAAAACCAAACAATTTTATTCTAAAATCGTTTAACATCACAACAATCGATTTTAGCCTTTCAGAAACATGATCTATCTTATGGTGTACTCTTCGTGAGAAACTATATCTTTTGGCCTAACCGTTCACTATTTTGGTGGAGAATTTTTTTTAAGTGAAAATTTGTTTAGGCGCGCTTCGGAGTTTATTTTGTGGATAGTGAATAGAGATTGAGCCGTCATGCTCGGATATGTAACGCTCGTTTGGATAAAGTGAGCTCGAGTCGAGTAATTGAAGGGTTTTTGAAAATGGATTAAAATATCTCAAAAATCGGACCTGCGTACTGTAAGGTGAGGGGAATGTTCAGCACTTCATTCTTTCTGTAATCAGCTATTAGAAAATTGTATTTTGAAGTGACACCGAGTTATAGAGACGAAAAGAAAGATAGTGCCAAAAATAAAAACAAATAATAATGACAGTTTTGAATATTTCGACTAATATACCTCAAAATTTGAATATCATGGAAAATTCAGAATTCGCAGAAGTAAATAGCCATATATTTTTTAATTTGCTGTAGAAATAAGAAATTATGTATTTCTTTTCGATTTTGATTTGCACTTGATAATATTTCGACAATGGTCATTAAAATAGTAAAAAATATGTATATATGCAATTATAATTGTATATATTGCAAATTCTATTACTTTGTGAACATAAATATATATATATATATTTTTTTTTTTTTTTTTTGCAGCCTGCTCAAACAAGTCTTACAACTTGTAGACCTCCCCTAATTAAAGGGGTATTATGGTGTAACTTTCCGCGGGGACCAGCCGTAGTGGGAAGGAGGGCCGAGATTAGATCCTATGATTTTTTGCTTTGCAAGTACAGCGCGTGATCCTTTGATGTTTTTACTACTATCGTGCGGTCTTAAGCTCACAATATTGTTTTGGTTTTTTAAGTTCGATTTATTTTTCTTGGTGTCATATAGAAAATATAATAATTATTAGCTTCAAGAGGACGAAAAACATTTTTTAATCCATCCTTTTCCTTAATAGGAAATTGGTTATTATTAAAATTCTTTTCTTTCTTAAAAATTGTTCATTATACTATTTACGATATATAATTTATATGCAATTTTCAACCGTGTTAATATTATGTCCTTTTTCTGACGTGAATATTTTCTCCTCATTACATTGTTCTCTTATCATCTTTGAGGAGAGACTCCATGGATGAGGTGCCTCCTCCCACGCCCGGACGGCCTAACGTTAAGGTACATGTACAGGTACAGGTACAGGTTCTCACTCCTGCCTCACCAGCACGACACGACACGACACTTAGCACAAACACGTTACCAGCTAAGATAGATCAACTTGGACAGATCAGGCTCATCACCATCCTATCAGTGAGTACTGTTTCTCTTCATGTAGTGGCTATAAAACTAGTCTAAGTGAACAAAGTAACCAGAAAATTATGTTGAAAAATTTGTTTTTATTGTTAGTTTTTTTATTAATTTTAATTTAACTCAATAATTCAATAATTATAATTTATGTATTGATAGGTTCTACTGTAGAGGCAGTTTAACTTAATATAAACTATATTCAAATTGTGCCTATTGATTTTCACAAAAGCAGCTCGGAACATGTAGTTGAAATTTCGGATAGTATTGTATATAATACAATACAATAGTATAGATATAATGTATTCATATTTGTATAATTTAATAATAAATCCATATTATTTTTTTTAATTTGATTCATGGATTTAACCTAAAATATATCGTAAAATGAACATTTCATTAAAACATCATATCTTAGAAATTTGGCCTTATTGGCTAAAATTAATGCCATATTTGAATTCAACTCCAAATAGACCGGCACCAAAACCACAGTTGGCCTGTGTAATCAACACACGATTTTTTTAATTTTTTTATTTTGGAAACGTTCATTTAAAGAAAATGAAATCAAATATTTGGATATATTTTGTCTGATGATATATTGGTCAGTACATGTTAAATAATATTGTGTAATATTATATCAATCTATCACCAGACGAAATATGTCCAAATATTGGCCCATCTTTCTTTAAATGAGCCTTTCCAAAAACCAAAAAAAAAAATATATATATATTTTCTAAGGTTAAGGCAAACATACTTCCATTTTTCTTCAGTCTATTTGCGTTAACCTTAGAAAAATATATAAACAGAAGCTTCCTAATAAAAAAAGAAAAATGAGAAGATAAAGAAAATATTGTGTATTGATTATAAAATATAATTTAGCATATTATATTCTTCTCTTCATTATCCACGACAGCCAACCATTTACCAATTATATAATATTGTATATTGAAAACAATTTTAACGCCTGCATTTTAGCGTGAAGCGGCAAACGTTTGCTCATTGCTGAAATGTAATGCGGGTTTAATATACCCTCTACTGCCGTCACACACCCAACAACCTCGTCACCAATTGCACTTATATAAAATAGGGGTTTCATGCACTTGTAAATGCTTGATGTGCTATTATGCTAAGCAGTTAGCACTAATTTTGAATGAATGGTAAATAACCTGTGTGTGCTAACGTGCTAAAGTGTTATAGTAAGCTAGGTATATTAGTTATAGTAAGCTTATGCCAGTACTGTAGATAGCGTACAAAAAAGTATTTGAGAAATAACAACTAAATATAGTGGTATTCTGAGTTGGTTTTCGTAGAAAGCAGTTCACTTTTATTAGTTTTGAAATAACCAGTTCTTAATTATAAGGATACTTAAAATATTTATGAGAGCTCTCCTAAAGAATATAATTTGGTTTTGGATAATATCTTTTCTCTCTCATACTCTCTAACACGGTGGTAGATTCCTTTTTATCGAATTATTAACATCTAGCTGAAATTTCGTAAATAGGTTCTTCTCATCGCAACCTACAAATATTTTATTTACGAAAATTCTCGGAACTGGAGGTCGGCAAACTTTTTCTATTTAATTAGGTACTAAAAATTCGTAAATACCCACTTTCTTTCTACTTTAATCGTAAGATAACTTGAGCACAAAGTCAAGAAAAAAGATGGCCTTCAAAAATACTGAGCCGTTTGGCGTGACCTACACCCCAAAATTGTCAAAATAAAGAGGTTATATAGGCCAAACGGCTCAATATTTTTGAAGGTCATATTTTTTCTTGACTTTGTGCTCAAGTTATCTTACGATTCAAGTTGAAAGAAAATGGGTATTTACGAGTTTTTAGTACCTAACTGAATCGACAAAGTTTGCCAACCTCCGGATTGGAAACCCTCCAATTCCGAGAATTTTCGTAAATAAAATATTTATTATTATAAATAAAATAAAAAGAATTTATTAAGAATAGCAAAAAGTGGCTAAAACGTGGCGTGGCCATCTCAATCCCTTGATCTCAACCCCATTGAACTATTGAGGGATGAAATTGATAGAAACGTTCGGAAGGTACAATTCAGCAATCAAAGAAACTTTCTCAACCAGGACATTGCAAAAATTAATAAAAATAATGTCAAAAATATGCAATGCCCTGATGAAGGCAAAAGGATGATATTTCGAAAAATCAAAAATTGGTCATATTCTTAATTTGTGAATGAAATTATAGTTGTTATATAATAATTGTACTTATACTATAAAATAAAATAAAGCTGATTGGTTATTATCTGACACAAATTTTGTTTTTTATTTGTTTTACAAAATCTAAGGGTGGGTCTAAACTTTCTTTTGACTATTAGTGTAAAAAATCGAATCAAAAATTATTTTAGTTCCATATATATATACAACACAATTAGTCATAATGATGATTACATGCTTATGGCAACATTTTTGTTCGTTTAGTTTTATCTTCTATTTTCTAAAATATTTGACGATTCTTATAAGATGGGATTGTAATCTGTTTGCTATTGTATCGATTCTGGAAGATGTGTAGATAGATAGTATCATATGCATATAGTTAGTTTTTTTTTCTGAAGAGAGGGACGGGATATCTGAAAAATATAGATTAAATAGGGTAGAAGAAAGAGAGGAGCCTTGAGGGAGACCTGCTGATAGGAGATGGATTGAGGAATGGAAATTGTTTATTGTGATGAAAAAGGATCTGTTGTTAAGATATGATTGGAGAAGGTGGATCATGTACGGTGGGGATTTATCTACTACCAGTTTATGAATAATGTCTGCGTGCCGAACTGTGACCGGTAGTGTATGTCTCTTAACAACAACAATAGAAACACAAATGAAGATCAATTCTGGCTTAGATATCAATATATAGTGTACATTATTAATCTATATAAATAAAATAAATATTTTGTCTGTACATTGAATAGAATCAACCCGTTTAATGATATCTTTCCGTTTCATACATTGCAGACATCAAATCCACTTTAAAAAAAAATGTTGTCTGTCTGTATGTCCGTATTGCAACGAAATTTTGTCAGGGGTAAGCTCAACAATGGCTTATTGTATACTTCTGAAATTTTGACATCATATTAAGGTTTACTTGACTTAAAACATAGGCTTTAAATGAAAACATAATAGTGAATAGCACCAAAGTTATGAGTTATTGAGTAATTTGTCTAAAGATTCCGGTTAGGCAGTCACTTACTTCGATTCCCATCCCAACCTACTCTACCGCCAGCCACATTACGGAATACCGAACATCTGTGAAGCGTCGCTCTCACAAAACGGGTAAAACATACTCATTTTCAAATTTGTCCGATCTTCCTGTCTCTCAACTCAACTTCCCGAGCCTAACAAATGTTTTAGTGTACATTTTTAGGATTAACCAAACGGAATAGCCGGAAATCAGAAAAAAATCTCAACAATTTCACCCCGCTCGCCACAATATTCAGATCAAGTTCTATTTTTACACGGATGTAGGTGACTCAATTTCCAATGTTATTTTGGTTATTGACTATATGACTATTGCGAAACCTTCACTTCTCCCATAAGCTCCGTCATAAAAAATTTCAAAACAACCCTTCTCCCTCTTCTCGACCCAATTTAATTAAATTGAATTTGGACCCTCTTCCTCCCATAATACAAAATCAAAAAAAGATTCTCAAATTTTAACTAAACACCCGTCAACGACGGGTATATAAACCAGCTAGTATTAATATATAGTGTAGATTGTTAATATTAATATATAGTGTAGATTATCAATATCAATATATAGTTTATATTATTAATATTAACATATAGTATAGATTATTGATATCAATATATAGTGTAGATTATCAATATTAATATATAGTATAGATTATTGATATCAATATATAGTGTATATTATCAATATCAATATATAGTATAGATTATCGATATCAATATATAGTTTAGATGATAAATATTAATGATAATAGAAGACTCACCCATGAGATGGGCCGGTACGGGGCCCCCCTCTGACACCAGCTGATAGCCGTAGTGCGACCTGAGGCGCCACCTGACGTAGCCGTGCAGCAGCCGATGCAGCGGCGCCACTTCCTCCATCAGTCGCTGTACCGTCTCCTCCAGCCAGGGCACTTCCAGCTCCTCTCGCCAGCACTCCCCCATGTCCCTGTAATCTGTGGGCCAGGCGGTGAGGAGTTAACAGATCTAGTTAACAGATCAGGATCTAGCTTACAGTAGGAGGTGGACAGTTAACAGATCAGGATCTAGCTTACTGTAAGGAGGTGGGATCTAGTCGATGTCCCTGTAATCTGGGCCAGGCGGGGGATAGTTTTCAGATCAGGATCTAGCGATCTAGCTTACTGTAAGGGGATGGGAGATCTCAGGGCAGCTTAGCCCTGGAGAAGGCGATAAGAACAATATAGTCCATAATAACAAGTCCATTTTACTTACTACTTACTTGTAAAACTTACTTTTGGGGATCAAATAAGTATTTACTAAAAAAACTGAGTTGACAGAACTCTTGTTCACTTTGATCGCTTAATACTAACAATATTCTGTGCCCACCATTGTAATAATATTAATCAATATAAACTCACTACTCTTGATAGCAATGTCATTCTGTATCTTGATCAAAGACTCATAAATGTGACGGGAGGGGGGCCCGATGGCGTCTCTCCAGCCCTGCCACAGGAAGAGCAGGAAGTCTGGGTCCCTCGAGGTCTTCATGAGGGTCTCCATGTCCGGCTCTATCCGGAAGCAGTTGCTCGCTCTGCACAACTTGACCTCCTTGTACATGTTGCTGAGGAGGCCCAGCAGCGAAGTCAGCATCCTGCAATAATATTGTCACCAAATCTGTCAATTATATATTTTAACATGTTAATAATTGTAACTGGAATATTTTTTACCCACACCTTTCAGAAATACTGACAATTAGCGAGTCTGCTGTTGGGAAAATACTAATAGTGGCTTGATCGGCGTGAGGGAAAGGAGTGCTCAGCGGCAGCCCTTCTTCACTTGACTTAGATGAGGAAATCCCTCTTCCAGCTTCTTTTGAACCTCCGAAAAGTGTTTTCGGGCATGTTAATCGAGGCCTTGTATCAGTGTGTTAGTATATCTATGTAAGTTATTGTGAAATTATTTGTAGTAAGTCCGATTGTGGTCATTAACATGTTTAGATCTTTATGTAAAGTAATGTTTGTGATGTACCGTGGAGCTTTAGTCATAGTCCTAACAGTTTTTGACTGAAAAGTTTGTAGCTTTCAGATGTGTGTCGTTTTGGCTGTTCCATATACTTGAGAAGCGTAGGCCCAAACAGCCTTTAATAGATACATTTAGGTGTTCAGTTTCTGTTTTAATTTTAATTTTGAGCGTCTTGAAAGAGTTGAGTATAATAGTCGTAGTCTGAGGTTTAACGTTTTTCTTTTTTTGTTGATATATGGGTCCCATGTCGAATGTCAGTCCAAGGTATTGTATTGATGATGAACTGTTTGCGGTATTTTAACATTGTCAAGATAAACATTAAAATTGGAATATTAAAACGTTTTTAATGTTTAATTAATAATGAATAAATTAATTAAATTGAATGTTAATCTTCAGGAAAATAATAAAATTGTTTCCATCTATTTCTAGGTCTACACAAATGAGCATAGCAAACATGTAACAATGAAAATCTCTTCACTATTTCGGTGTAAAAAAAATACCGTAAAAAACAATTTTTTTCTGCTTTATTGAGAAATATTAGATTCGGTCGCATCCAAAAACACCAGTGATAGTGATAGAGTTGCTAATTCACATTCAATGTAGCATAAATAAATATTAATTAAACAGAAAATAATAATGCTAAAAGTAAATATAAATAAACAAAAAAAAAACTAAACTAATCAGAACAACAGATCAAATATTTACAAAATTCACTCAGGAAAACTCCGACCGGAAGAACAAATAGAATTCAAAATTGAAAATATAGCTCCAAATAAAGAATGCAATGGAATTGGCAAACCGCTCAAGTTCATTAAACAAACGAAATTAATTATATTTAAGAATAACAATCTTCGCTAATGCCATAGCTAATTAATAAGTCCAGATTAGCTATCTTACATAGCCTCGCACATAGCTGTCGTGCATAGCTGTCGTACTTAGCTGTCGTACTTAGCGAAACAAATTGAATTTCATCTTGAACTGCTGAGTTATCAAACGTCAGGACGAAAGCTCAACTGTCCTGTTTTAACTGACAAGGGTTCTAGAGGCTTTGCAAGTCGAAACTTGCTCATGGAAGCAATGACACACATTATTCATACGATAATGGTACTATTAAATTTACTATCAACATGTTTTGTTTCTGAATTTCTTCAGTAACGTTTTTAAAAAATAATAATTGTGAAAAAACAGAGAGCCGGAGGCCACCGTTCCTAATTTCTTATTTACCTAATTTGTGTTTGGAAAACAGAATAAAAATGATTTAATTGGTACATTAAAGCTTAACTGAGGAAATGCAATGCAATGAAATTTAATATACTTTCCTTCTCATGTTTGGTTTTAAACATTCATCCTTTTTGTCCGAATTAATTTATTAAAATGAGGGAAGTCGGAGAAAAAAACTGGGAGTCCAAAAATGTACTTTTTTACACACACTCAATTCAGGAAAGAAATGTTAACCCTGTTACTAAATTTCGAAGAACTGTAGAAATGTATAATAGCTTACCCACAGACACAACACATACATACATTAAAAAAATCCAGTTCAATCGACAGCAAAATATGGTACGTTTGATTGACAATTTTCTCAAGATATTTAGAATATATGCAAAGCAGAAATTAATTGTTCTCATTCAGGGAGGCCTTTGTAGGATCTTGCTGTTTTATGAGAGTCGTCAGCGTAGGTAGCTGTTGATGTTTCATTGTTAATCGATATATCGTACACGGATACAATGTAATCAATATATCGTACACGGATTTAATGTAATCGATATATCGTACACGGATACAATGTAATCGGTGTATCGTAGAAAGATACAATGTAACAAACAAAAGGATACAATGTAGGGGTCAGTATTTAACCTTGGGGAATCCCTGCCAAGACTGTCGAATAGTAAAAATTTCCGAGCACTCCCGAACGGGAAAACCTATCGAAGAAGAAACCTTGAAGGTTAAGATATTACGAACTGGTGATATGGTATTATCTATTGGCCAGACAAATGTCAACAAGTCTTTTGAATATCAATTTTTTCAAATAGGTAGCATATTGAAGGAGATTATTGGTCTGTAGGATGAAGGACTGTATATCTCTTTACCGGCTTTATGAATCATTTTAATGAATAAGAATTTCCATTGTAATGGAAATTTTGAAGTCCTTAAAATATAGTTGTAAATTGTTGTCGGAAATATAAGAGCTTTCGTGGGCATCTGTTGGAGTGCTTCAGCAGTTATTAAGTCATAACCATGAGCTTTTCTTAGCGGTAAATATTTGATTTGGAAAGCCACCTGAGATGGAGTAAAAGAAGGAAGTGATAGTATCAAGTGAAGTGGGATTTATAATGTGTTAAATACTTGGGGCAGCTTGTTCTGTTAGTTCCGTGAATATAGAAATAAAAATTCTAAAAATTAATTATTCGTAATGCAGGATCTAAAGAATTATACAACTTTTTGTAGCTCATTGTAAATTAAATTTTCAACAAGTACTATTCAATATTCAAATGATTTATTGATTTTAATGATAATAACTGCCACAACAAAAATGTTTAATGTTAACCACGCATAAATGTTCCACCTACCATTTTATTTTTAACATATCTTGTTACAAATAAGATTCAAAACATAGCTCCAATAAATAAAGACAAATATAATTTCTTCTTCTAAGGAAATGTTTTGTCTCAATACATAATATAAGAAAATAGCCACAATTCCTCTGGCACACAACGACAGTAAAGATATATCATTAATCATAGAATGTGATATCAAAATATCCTCTTAATGGTTTGAAGATAATCCAGCAATATTTGTAAGATAAACAAATAATGGTATTCCGGATAGCCGATTCAAGACAATATTTGGCAAACTTCATTATTAATCAACTTCAAAGCGAGAGATGCTGAAATATTCCAATTCTGTAAACTTCAAAGGATCAATGGAGGCGAAGCGAAATCTTTATTCAAACTATGGCCCACAAAAGTTTCTCTGATTGTAATTTTCAAATTTTTAAAATTATTTACAAAATATGAAAACTAGAATTAAATAAGTAAATCCCTCCAACATATGGCTACTACTACATTTATTTTTAAAAAAATTTCTCTTAGAAAGCTATGTTCAAAAATGCCAGTAAATTATAAAAATATCTCTCAATTTTTGATAAAGTAAGTAAAAATTATAGCCTGTGACCGAGGTTTTTTTTACTATACCACTTAACCAAATTATTAAGTTTCTATCTCTTGAAAATTAAACTTGATGTAATTTCTTAATGAGAAACATTTGGTTTTATATGCACTATTCAGAAGTTTTAAGTAAAAGAACAAAATATGTCTCAAAAATCGAGAGGCGGCCCATGTTAGTATTGTTGTTTTTTTAATGTGTGTACCAATACATAAAAGTTTAAAAAATTACAATATTTTTAGTAACATTAACTTCGTTTCGATCCTAAAATCCTCATATTTTTTTTTTAAATCCGCAACTTTGAAATGTAAGACTGATGATTTTCTTTAAAATAACAAACACTTTCGCATTTCACATTCAAACATTTTCTGTTATAAGAACGGTTCTTTTTTCTAGGCTCTGGCTCTAAAATATTAGATATTACAGAAAGATATTACAGATAGATATTGCAGACAGACAGACAGACCAATGGCTAAAAATATGTTTTTCGGACTCAGGAGCTCTGAAACTTATAGATCCGTCGAAAACCGTACATTAGAAATTTGACCCGATCGCAATACTTTCCTTACCTAGTATAAGTAGGAAAGTAAAAAAAGAAATTACCTTATTTATTTTTTAATTCTCTAAATATGATGTGAATGTGCTCTCTAAACTCTATTATAAGTGTCCTTCATTGAGACAGATTGTAATATTTATCAATAAACATGTAATTTATTATAAAAAAAAATATGGAAAATATTCATAAAAGAAATGCTTTATGAATTTTAGTCATCAAATGAACTTGGAAATTTTGTTTAGAATCACTCCCCTCCCCCTGAGTTTGGCCATTAAGAACTATGTGATATTTACTTTTGAAAATTATGTTCACACAATTCTTCGTGATGAAGGCAAAGATTTTTTTTGTTTTGGTCTGCTTTATGTTATGTTGCTACATATCTACTTTGTTGCGAAATACATATCTGTTGGTGAAACGATTGAAAAGTGGATGTTTTCTGTAAAAGCTGCAAAGGCATTACCTGCTCTCGACAGGAGCTAGGAAGGGGCCCCTGCAGAGGAGGTAGGCGGCCCGGCGGACTACCGGAGGCGCCCCGAAGAAGCCGATGGCGTCCATGCACCTCTGCCACCGCCACTCGATCCTGACCTCGTCGAGGCTGTAGCTGGTCGGGTACTCCTCTCCCACGAGGCCGGCCCAGGTCCTCAACGCCGCCTCTCGGTTCAGCTGCCTCAGCTCCTTGTTCATCGTCCGCGCCCACTCTTCAGTGGGGCAATTCCAACAATTAGAACAAAGTATTATATATATTTAATTAGAACAAAGTATTATATATATTTAATTAGAACAAAGTATTATATATATTTAATTAGAACAAAGTATTATATATATTTAATTAGAACAAAGTATTATATATATTTAATTAGAACAAAGTATTATATATATTTAATTAGAACAAAGTATTATATATATTTAATTAGAACAAAGTATTATATATATTTAATTAGAACAAAGCATTATATATATTTAATTAGAACAAAGTATTATATATATTTAATTAGAACAAAGTATTATATATATTTAATTAGAACAAAGTATTATATATATTTAATTAGAACAAAGTATTATATATATTTAATTAGAACAAAGTATTATATATATTTAATTAGAACAAAATATTATATATATTTAATTAGAACAAAGTATTATATATATTTAATTAGAACAAAGTATTATATATATTTAATTAGAACAAAGTATTATATATATTTAATTAGAACAAAGTATTATATATATTTAATTAGAACAAAGTATTATATATATTTAATTAGAACAAAGTATTATATATATTTAATTAGAACAAAGTATTATATATATTTAATTAGAACAAAGTATTATATATATTTAATTAGAACAAAATATTATATATATTTAATTAGAACAAAGTATTATATATATTTAATTAGAACAAAGTATTATATATATTTAATTAGAACAAAGTATTATATATATTTAATTAGAACAAAATATTATATATATTTAATTAGAACAAAGTATTATATATATTTAATTAGAACGAAGTATTATATATATTTAATTAGAACAAAATATTATATATATTTAATTAGAACAAAATATTATATATATTTAATTAGAACAAAGTATTATATATATTTAATGGTATTCATGTTCTAGGCAATAACTATATTAGCATACTAATATTATATGTAGTATGAAAATAAAATAATATGGAGGAATCAATTCTTATTTTCTCGGCAATCGAAACCGACCAAGAAAAATAAATTAAATTGAAGACCTCATTCCTGTTGTAACCAAAATGTTTACAAATTATAATAACCTGTATCTCTGCTAATAATAAGGAGCTGTTTTATCTCCCGTTCTTTTCCTATTATATACTGCGGAAATAGTGGGAACTAAACACCAAAATGCTTCTGTGACAGCATTTGCTGATGACATAGCTGTCTCAAGTAGCAGTATGAATGCCAAAAAAGCTATGCAGCAGGCGGAAATAGCTTGTGAAAAAATTGCAGAACAGCTAAAAATCCTAAACATAGATGTCAATCCGGAAAAGACGAAAGGAATTATATTTTCATACCAAAAAGGAAAAAAGAAAATGCCAAAGGAATTCAAAATTAACAACACCAGTATTAAATTATCGACTGACTTAACATATCTCGGTATTCACTTCGACAGACATTTAAAATTTAATAGACATTTTGACAAAAAAATTAAAACAGTAAGATCTAAGACATACAGACTCCAAAATTTAATTCGGACAACAAACCTATCTTTACGAATAAAGCTTCTAATCTATACAAGTATAATACGGCCGGCTCTGTTGTATGGTGCACCTCTGTTCGAACACATCAGCAAAACAACTCTGAAAAAATTAAAATATTTCCAAAATGGTATAATTAGAAAAATAGTAAGAAGAACCACGCTGCAGAGAAAGAAGACAGTGGATATACAAACAACACTAACCTTATCAACAATTAAAGAATTTTTCGCAAAACGAAAAAAATCATTTTTCGAAAAATCCCAACAATTGGCAAACCCTCTTTTTAGCAATATGTTACCAGCCAAAATTCCAAAATGTTGGCAACAAATCACATGATATCGATGTTTTATTAATTTAGTTGTAAGATGTAGAGGATAAGGTCAACTCAAGCCTGAGGTGAGCCCCATCACCTTTATATTACAGATGAAGAACGAGATATTTAGAAACGACAAAAATCTAAAAATAAACCTTACAATGCTTTTAAGCTGTAAAAGGTGTATTATTAAGACAATCCAAGGATTAAAGACAAAAATAAGTATAAAGGGGCTATGAAAAAAAAACAAAAAAAATAATCGTCCGATTTCGATTATTTTTGTTTCAGTTCTGTAGGATATTTAGTAAGCTTTCGAATAATCACGGCTGCAATCAACAATCAAATTTATATTGAACACTCAGTAGTTGACCGTAGAATAATAATAATGATGGTATTTTACCAAATGGTATTTTAAGCAAATTTTTAACTTTCCATTCTGATAGTACTAATTTTAGGTATTAAGAAACTGCTCGTCCGCCAGCTCAGACAGGTTGATTTAAGGTTTTAGGGGCATTTGAACCCAGCAAAAAGTTTAGAATTTCGGGACATTTTTAAAAAAATTCTTTTCGTCGGGTTATTAGAAATAGGATGGTATTCTGAACATTTCTCTTTTAGCTGAGATATTTTAATCCATGTGCAAAAACATTTGGTTGACTCATAAAACACGCCTTTAAGGATTAAAATATCTCAGAAACTAAAATTCGAACCTGCACACTGTAAGTAAGAGAAATGTTCAATATTTCATCGTCTTTGTAATGAGATATTATTCAAAATTGTATCTTAATGCAACTCCGTGTTAGAAAGGAAAAACGCTGCAAATTATTCCACAATGGTTTATTATTTCCAAACTATTATACATCTAAAGTAACATTACCTTCCTAGTTACAAAGAAAAATAAATAAAAGGTCATTCCAATTATTGGACTAAACCTTTTTTTTTTTAATCATTAATAATATGCTAAAAAATTTAGTATTACTTCAGTAACACATTCAAAAATCAAAAACCAAAACAATGTATATAACCTTTGCAGTAGAACATATAAAAAACATCTGGAGACTATATCTTTGCTCCTAATTGTCCGATTTTAACGATTTTTTTCTTTAGAAAATTCTGTAAACTTTTAAATAACCATATACAATATCGGCAAAAAAGTGTGAACTTTTTGAGTTATTCGGACTTTAATTTTATCATCCCTCATAACTTTTTTTTCAGCTCCTTTTCGTTGAAGTGTGTTATATAGATAAATATAAAGGACGTAGAGATAATGACTTTAGCAAAATTTCATTGAAATTGGTTCATTCGTTTAGGCGCTACAGTCTATAGCAACGCAGGTTTTTCGGCCGCCATTTTGAAAGTAAAAGGCGGATAATAATGCCGATGACGGAGGAACATCCTCGGATGACCTCTGATTTTATATCCAAATTAGAAAAAAATTGGTCCAGTAGTTTCGGAGGAAATGCGCGGACGGCGGACGGCGGACGGACAAAAAAATGTTTATTCGTTTTTCGAATTAGACGCATCCTGAAACGTGAAACCTCAAATTTTGAGAGGCGGCTAATTTTTTGGTCGATCACAATGGTTCATTATTGAAAATAATATACCAAAAGGGAAAAATAGTTTCGAAAACGAACTGATAACGAGTTTTATTGAAGATTTGGATTAAAATATCTCAGAAACTAAAATTCGGACCTTAATACATTACCCAATGGAAATGTATAGCATTTTATCCTCTTTCTGATATAATATTATTGAAAACTGTATCTTAAAGGGACGAAAAGAAAACTTTCTTAAAATGTCATAAGTTTGAACTTTTGATGGGTTCAAATGCCCCTAAAATCCTAAATCGGTCTGTCTGAACTGGAAAAACCTACCAGTGTTTTCGTAATTCCTAAAAGGAGTATTCCTGTTTTAAAATGTGTTGTAAATTTGCTTAACATATCGGTAAAATCTTATTGGCCCTGGCTCCAGGTCTATGAGGAAAGAGATGGCCTGGAGTGGTGGTCATATAAAAGCTTAAATAGTGAAAAATGTTTTATTTAAGCCTACGTTTCGACCCAAATATGCGGGTATTAATTCATAATAGGGCGGTATGGTCATAGTTGGGTCGATATGCTGGCTTGAAATAAAATATTTTTTCACTATTTTAAATTTAATTTTAATGTTTTATCTAAAAATATTTTATTAGACACGCGTGGCATCGTATCAGCCGGTAGAGTTAGTCATATTTGAAGTTATCGTGGCTAGGATTAGCTCAAGCATTGCAATCTGAATCAGGGACGAGATAAAACTAAGAAAGATTAAGTTGTCTTTAATTAGCGATTAAATATTTAATTTCGGCTTGAAGAGATAGAGAAAAAGTTTATATTTAGGAATTTACAATATGCAATGATTTTTATCATGTTTAAGAATGCCGCATCCTTGTAAATGAAACAAATTAAATTTCATTAATGAATTTTCAACATGAAAATTTTATAAAATATATACAACTAATATAATTCTCTGTAGAAAAAAGGCTTTTTTGTTTCAATAATCAAAATACTTTATTTTAAATTTATCCAAATTTTCGCCTCTTCAGACATCTCTTCAGGGATAAAATATGATTTTACAATATATTGTGAATTTTCATCTGAAAACAATTTATATAAAAAAATTCTTTCACAGTATTTACTATTTTTAGATATCTTAATCATTAACTATAATATTCAACTGAAATTGAAGTGGACACGGAAAGATGATTGCAGTGATAGGGATTTTAAATTACTTATCACACCACCTATTTAATTTTAATAAAAAATTAAACATAATTAGTAACTCATGGGCAAAGCTATATAACTAACAGATATTGATTATTTGAAAGAATAAAGGAGCAAATTTTAAAAATTCTTCAAAGCGAATTATACCCGGACTCGCTAATCACAACATCGTCGATACAATTGATAAAACAATAAAACTTGATTATCAAATTAATGGCAGTCCACTGTTTCCTTTAACCTTTAATAATAATAATAATAAAAATAAACTTCTCTACGTGTTCAAACATATTATCACCTATATCGATATCACCAGCAATATCGCCATTTTTGTAACTAATCATATATTTTGTCTTACATACAAACCTTTAACATACATAAAAACATTTATGAAATTTAATATAGATGAATTAAAATTGGTATACAGAATCTCAAGGAATCTTCAAAAAATTTGACACCACTAAAAGATAAAATAATTACCAACCAAAATTACAATTTAATCTATAAAATTAATTGTCTACATTGTTCGAATTCCTGTATTGCTATGACTACTCAAAATCTCAGTAACAGACTTTATCAACTTAAAAATTCGTATGCTGATTATAAATATAAAAATACAGAGAAAAAGAGAGCCTTAAACAGCATTTCCAAAACATGCATCTGATTTAAAACATGAATTTGATTTTGAGAACCCGGTGACCCTCGATCGTGATAAGTCTCAAAAAAACTAAAATTCTTGGAGGCACTTTATATATCAGAGATAGTGTTGCCCAATATTGGTCTTAGTCTTGCACTTTGCAGGACCAAGACCAAAGCCGCCTAACTGTTGCAAGACCAAGACCAGGACTGGTAAAAAAAATCTACTTTTTAAATAATAATTAAGGCAAAATAGTTACTAATACTTGACACTCTTAGTTACAATATGTTATTAATCGGTGTAATCAATATACTTTTGCATTTAACTCCTTTAATTTTTCATTCGGGCTTAGTTAGGTTTCTCCTATATAAAAAATTACAGTAATATCTCTATAGTACTAAGTAACTGCAAGACTTACGCAAGACCAAGACCATGGCCAAGACTGAGTTGCAAGACCAAAACTAATCTCGGTCCCGCATTTTGGGTATGCTAATCAGAGAGCTTTGATAAGGTTGTAAGTTTTAAAACTAATACCACAAATTTAAACAATTTCTTTTTGGAAACAATACATATTGTGAACCAACAATGATATTCATGGACGTCTAATTGGATTGTTCTTAATATATACGCCGATAAAACTATACATATATATCTATATAACATATTTCCCTGAAAAGAGGCTGCAAAAAAAGTAAGGAGAGTTTTATTTACGAATAACTCAAAAAGCAAACAATCTTTCTGAATCTCCTTCAAAATGAAATACCAAAAAAAATCATCAAAATCAAAAAGAATTATGTCTCTCGTGATGTTTTCTTTTTTACTTTTTCAGTTTATATTTTTTAAGAGAGCTCTATCGTCAAAAATTTCTATTTGGCATATTGCTATAATATGAGCACAATGTTGAAATGAAACAACTTGTACCCAAAGAAGGAGTGGGTTCAAAAATATTTTTGAACAAAGTAACGTTGGATTTTTAATAAAAAGTATACAAATGGTACTGCAATGTTTTTTATTGTGAACACATATAAAAGCGTATGTACATGTGTGTGTATATAAAGCATAAAAAAATGTTACAAACATGTAAAAAAAATTGTTCTTCTGGAAATATGTTTTTTTCAAAAGTTTCATTAATGATTATGTTCAATTTCCGACCATTGGGTGAACAGTTGTACAAATAAATATACATAGCTCATATAGGTTTACACACAACGGCGTAAGAAGCTTCCATATTGGAGAAAGAGGGAGCAAGACAATAAAGGAAAATCTCAGGTAAGTTAGCGAAACTTTATTATAAGTAGTTAATATCTATAAATATATTTATAAATAATAATATAATTATAAATATAATATAGCCGTAACAACAAGAATGAAAAATGACCAGATCCCCCGGAAAATCAAGGAAAAAGTTTTGAAGAAAAGAAAACATTGCGTGTACAAAACTCAAAAAGTATTGAATTGGAGCGTTTTCAATCTGCAGATCGGCAAACGTCGTCCATTTAATTAGGTACTAAAAACTCGTAAATACCCATTTGCTTTCCACTTAATCGTGAGATAATTTGATCACAAAATAGAGAGAAAAATTTGGCCTGCAAAAATATTGGGCCATTTTATCTGTATAACCTCGGTGTTTTGACGATTTAGAGGTGTAGTTCACGACAAACGGCTCAATATTTTTGAAGGCCACCTTTTTTCTCGATTTTGTGATCAAATTATTTTAAGGTTCAAGTGGAAAGCAAATGGATATTTACAATGGAGTTTTTAACTACCTAATTAAATAGATTACGTTTGGCGATCCCTAGATTGAAAACGCCACGATTCCAAGAGTTTTCGTAAATAAAATATTGATTGGTTACGATGAGATGAAGCTATTTACGAAGTTTCAGGCGATTGTTAATTATTTGATAAAAAAGGGGTCTGTACTACGGACTATTTCGCTTTATATGGAATTTATAAACCATTCAAATTAAAATTGTATACTTTTTGAGTTCACTAAGCATTTTTTTGAGTTTCCGGGTTCTCTAACCCTTTTATTTTTATTATTACACTTTTTGAGTTATGTGCAAGTATTTATTTCTTTTGTTTATAACTTTTTCTCTGTTTTTTTTTTCGGTGGATTTGCTTACTCAGGTTCTGAAGGAGAAGACAATCTTCTGAAAGATGGTTTAATCATTTGATGAAAAATTAAACTAATCATTATATCAGTTATTATTTATACTACTTACTGTGCAAATACGTACACACACGGACATCTATTCACCTATAATTTTATTATTTCATATGTTTAATTAGGCTCGTACTATATTTTTAATTTAATGTTACACAACTCTGTGACCTAGTCATCATTATTTGCCTGCCACTTTGTGTCAGACAAATCTATATCGTAATGTAATTGCTATTGTTGCTATACGTCCCAGAATAAAATTTCTTTTCTTTCCTTTTTTTTCTTCTTCTTAACCGAAATATTGACAAAAAATAAAGGTACGTTAAATCTATGTTGAATTTTACTAACTTTTGTGTCAAATACACCGAATTGAAAGTTTAATTTGGAAATTTATAATGTAGTTCTGTACAAACGTTTTACGTGTACCATTTCACAAACTATGTAGAACACAATTATCTAACTCGACTAACAGCGACATTATTGCTAAACATAAATATTTATTTTATTTCTCTTGATGCCGAAAACAAATGGAAAATTCCAAAAACAAGGATCAAAAATACTAACACAGTGAAATAACCATTTGTATATTTGCTTGCCCTATAATTTGTGAAATGTCTAAATGGATCTTAATATATCGTACAAAAAATAATCAAATTAATTTTCACTAATTAAAAGTATTTTGATGAATGTTCTCTACTTTAATTAAATCAATTGGGATAACTATTGATATAAATGCACTTAGTGTCATTTCGATGCACTTAGAGTGAATTTTTTTCATTGATATATTAAGTCCCAATTCATAAAATCGTATTTAACAGATTAGGCTTATCAAAAATGTAGTTATTTTATTTTTGAAAACAGAGCCATATACATTATATAAAATGTAAAAAAAGAAATAAAGAAAATTAATAAATAAGAAATTATATAATTTTCAATAATATAATGCACTCAAATCTTATATAATTTTTAATTCGAAATTATAAAATTGATATTTACAATATCTCGATATTTGGTCGGGTTTTAAGTCAACTTATTATATTTTTTTTTAAAAATAAAAAAACAACTCCTTACGTTATTATAGTAAAAGCAGTATTTTCGAAAATGAAGAACAATATATTATTTTAAATCTAATTTTGAATGAAACCTTAACATTCTACATTCCTGAAATTATATACAATCAAGGAATTCAAATCGTGAGTTTTTTTTAGAATGTTTTACAAATAAACCGACGCCATACCTATAACCCAAAGCACTAAAAGTATAAAGTTATAAAGTATAAAAGCACTAAATAGTTTTAGTTAATAATGAATTACAGGATGGACTCAAATATTATATAATTTTAACTCGAAACTATAAAATTTGGACTTACAATAGATTTTCAGTCAAAGCTAATTTTTAAAAAATGAATTTTGTTTATTAAAAGCTACATTTTCGAAACGGAAAAACTTATTCTTTACGGAACATTATATTCTTTTAAATATAATTTGACTGAAATGTTACGTTGAACTGTTAACATTCTACAATCCTGAAATTATATGCAGTCAAGGAATCAAACTTTCAATTTATTTAAAAAATTCAATGTCATTTCATAACCTTAAATCTATAAGAATTTTGATGAATTTTTCCTTTGTAAAGCCAAAAAATTGTGCTTTTTTATAAATAGGATTAATATGTGCATGTTAATTGCAAGGATGTAGTGCGTTAAGAGCACAAATCTTATTTTGATAAAACACATTTAAAAGTTTGGGAGTTTCAGCCCACAATTCACAAAGGAATATTCATGTCTGTGGTTGCCGCATAACTTAGCCCAATAGACACAAAGAAAGAAACATTCACTTTTTGGTGAAATCCACAAAAATTCACCAGATTGCACTCGACACACCGTGCACAGGGGCCACAGATATAAGGGGATTTGTGTCATAGTGGTGTGCTTATCGTGTTTTGTTTTTTATCAATAAATAAGATCGAGATTAACAAAAACGTTCTTAAAAGTTCTTCCCATCAAAAATGTACTCGGTGGCTTTTTGCAATAAACCAACGATGTATTCCTCAGCTGACTTAAGAATTATATTTGTATTAATATTGCTCGCTCTGAGCTGACTCACCCGTGAAGTTTCTCTGGCCGTGCCCGGAGGCTCCCAGGACGAGAAGAAGAAGGACGAAGAGCCCGGGACGTGCCATGCCGAAGAGTGAGGAGAGTCTGGTGGGGGGGTCAGGGCACCCCCTCTACTTCTGATTTAAAGCCCCACCTCTCATCATCATCATCAACATCGCCATCAGGTGATACGTGACAATCGGTCTATTTAGGCGGCGCCGCCTGTTTCGGTTCATCCCAATCCTTGAGCAAACAGACTGTTCGACCCCTCTGCTATAATAGTGCCAAAAAATAAACCTGCTGTGTCCTATCCTACGGCTTTCCTTAATATTTTGGATGGCTAATATTAAATCTAATAAAAAAATAATTTTCTTTATGTTAGTTAATATTAATGTTTTAGTTTTTTAAGTTTGGACTTTGTAGACAATTTATTTATCTCAACGAGCATTAAAAATTTTCAGGAGGTGTAAAGTTTATGAAGTGTTCGAGAAACAAAAGAAAACTAAAAGAAGTGGTGAGGGTGTCTATGAGAACACGTGCAGAATACTTTTAAAATACTTCGGGAAATATTTTACAAAATCCAATTAATACGTTCTATCATTACTTCCATGTTGTTGTTTATTATTGTAGGACATTCTACAAATAATTTTGGTCAGTGGACAAATGACAAATGATAAGGAAATTAAATAATTCAATGAATCATAAGATGAAGAAACCATTTCCTATTTTTTCAATAAACGACCAAAACAAAATAAGAAATTTGTTATAAAACTTCATTCATTTTTTAAACCAAAATAATTACTAATTAAAAAAACCTGTATGTCAGCTAAAAATGGTTCGATTCGGATAATTTATTTTTTGCTTTATAGGGAATTTAGCAATTGTTCAAATATACATGGGTACAATCAGTGTTGCCCAAATGCAAGATCAAGAGGAGTCTTGGTCTTCGGCAGTCAGTCTTGCTCTTGCACAAGAGTCTCGCAGTTACCTATGAGCTTATTGCTATTTATTAAACATATTAATTTAGATGTTAGAAAAGAAGATACAGAATAGGTACTTTTAGATGTTTTATTGACATGAACATAGTTAATTAATAAAATTAGCTTGACACTACATTAAAAGTATTGTCAAGAAAGTGTTAGATCTCCAATTCGGAATAGCAGAATTATAGAGTAAAGAAAATCTATATAATGTCACTAATTATTTAAATAAAAAATCTGGTGTGTCCACTCAAATGATTTCCCTGACAATTTTACACAAATTTTCAAATTTAAAATATATTTATTAAAAATATATATATCCATGACTCAATTCTCCATTGTTCCCACCACCTTTATGCAGACGATTCTCAAATATACCTATCCTTTTCTCCCCCTGAGCTATTGGTAGCATTTACTAAGATCCAAGCAGACCTAGATCGAATCTGTGCCTGGGCAAAATTAAACGGATTAAGGTTAAATGCTTCAAAAACTCAGGCCATTGTCATTGGTTCCAAGCCCCTCCTTAGATCCTATACGGACTTTCCCATACTAAACCTTGGTGACCAGCCAATCTCCTTCTACTCCTCTGTAAAAAATTTAGGACTATTTATTGATCAAACCCTCTCCTGGAGTCACCATATTTCTCACATCTCCCGACGGACAGTCTCTACCCTCAAACTATTCCATTGCTTCCGCCATCTCCTACCTCAACATACGCGTAGACTCCTCGTTTCCTCTCTCATCTTCCCCCACTTTGACTACTGCTGTGTGGTGTATGATGGACTCTCGGTGGAGCTCCGCGACAGACTGAAAAGAATAATGAACAGTTGCGTGAGATTTGTAATTGGTGCCCCGAGATACTACCATGTCTCTCACCATTACACTGAGTTAGAGTGGCTCTTCCCCTCCATTCGAAGACAATATTTCCTAGGTACATTCCTCTATCATATCATCAACAATCATCGTCCTTCCTACGCCTACAACCTTCTCCAATTCAAGTCCTCAGTCCACTCCCTCTCCACAAGATCTCGACCTTCCGACCTTTACATTCCTTCTCACAGATCTGCCTCGTTCCAAAACTCCTTTATTGCACGTTCTGTTAGTTTCTGGAATTCCCTTCCTATCAAAATTCGACATTCTTCATCCTTATCTACATTCAAAACCCTCCTATTCCAATTCCTGTCCCAAAAACAGTCAGGCACCAGCTAATCTTTTATGTAAAATTACACATTATCTATAAGACCATATTCACATATAGCTCATGACCTGAATACTTATTATAGATTCGACTTTCTTTTTCTCTTTTTTTTTTTTTCTTTTTCAACAGAAACAGATTTTACTGTTAAGAAGAATATACATTTATTTTTTCTGTATTTTTTATTTTTTCTAAAAGGGTTTATTTATATTTTAACATCGTACATAGTTTTAAGTATCTTAGTATGGTTTCAAGAGTTTTTTATATAGATTTTTTTATTTTATTTTGTATATAGTATGTATAACCAATATTTTTTTCTTTTCTTTTCTTTAATGACCTATCATTATCTTAATTTGTTATGTTTGTTTTTATCTGGCCAGATGTAAAATTTTAATTTCTGTACTTTTTTGTTATTCTGAAGGGACTTCGTCCCAGAATAAAATTATTTTTCTATTCTATTCTATTCTAAAAATAACACAGTTGCATTAGGCAAGTATTCCTAATAACAGAAATAATTAGAGCACGATTTCTTCGATGAAGTAAAGCAATGTAAACGGGCAAATGAACAATTACTAAAATCAGTGTACACAATGCAAAACACTGAGAACTGGGCCGATTTAGACGATTTTTTTTAGTTTTGTCGGAAATTTAATAACCTTTTAAAAATATTAACGCTACATACTTTAGAGATATTACTGTCATTAAAAATTTAAAGAAAAATTAAGAGTTAAATGTAAAAGTATATTCATAATGATGTAGAGATGGTTGACAGTGATATAATATGAGAAGGAGTTGATCGGAGTGTGTGGTCAAATAAATACTAAATTATACAAATATTATTATTTAATTTTTGCCGACGTTTCGACCCACTTTGCAGGTTTTCATCAGGGCGTAGGATGTATCACTGCGGGAGGCAGTTGAAACACTGGCCAATGACAAATTAATTTTCACAGCTTGAGATATTTGAGCGTTTTGTCAATTCCACTTAGTTGAGAAATAACTAAATGAAGTTGAGTTGTTTCTTTACAAAATGAACCCTAAACAACTTTTTGAAAGTCGAGATAACCATCGATTGTAAAAACACCCAATGAATCCAATGGTGTTGCTAAATATAAAAAATCTGGTGCGCGCAACACACAACTTTCACTTTCCACTCTACTTTGAATAGAAATTATTTTCTGGCAATGCTGGGATATTATAAAAATTTTTGAAGTGAATTTTAAACCAAGCTAAAGCTTAAAGCTTCCAGATAACAATTCATTAAGACCATTAAAATTGTAAAATGTCTATTTAATATATCGACGACAGGCAAAAATCTAGTCACTCCATCTGCTTTTATAAACCATACAACTTTCTTTGCTTTTATAAACCACAGAATGACTAACTCCAATTTCAACATTTTTGAGTAATGTCATTTTAGTGATATTTTTAGTTGAAAAAGTTATCTATGCAGACAGTGAGTAAGTTGATTCCGGAGGTGGTGATTGCAGTGTTGAAATACAGAACTGAGAATAAAGATGTAAATTTATTTCTTATCAAAGATGTTCTTAGGAAAGGTACATTATTAAATATCTGTAGAAAAAAGGTTTTTTTAGTCTCAACAATTAAAAAAATATATTTTAAATTTATCCAAATTTTGGCCTCTTCAGGAAAAAAAACTAGAGACCATATCGTTCCTCCTAATTGTCCGATTTTAACGATTTTTTTTTAGAAAATTCCATTAACTTTTAAAAACCATTAATTTAAAGGTAGTCGAGAAAATGACTTTAGCGAAGTTTCATTGAAATCGGTACATTCGTTTAGGCGCTACAGTCTATAGCAACGCAGGTTTTTCTGCATTTTTTTTTTCTCCTTTATTAACTTATCAAATTCTTTCAAAAGTTATCTGTAGCATTTTTTCGTAACTCTAAATAATGAGAAATGGTTAAATTTTAAAAAAAAAACCATATTAAAAGTGCTTTAGAGGAAGACATATATGAATATGGGGCATTTAAGCCCCGTAAAGTGATATCAACGGGGATAAGACCTAAATGATATTAAATACCACTTAATCATACAATGATACGCCGAGTTTGATCAGAATCGTTAGAGCCGTTTTTGAGAAAATTGTAAAAATGTGTTCCAGCGTTCATATAAAGTCCCACTTCCGGTTAGACGATTTTAAAAAGTTGCTGTCACATCCGGCTCATATACAAACCTTAAATACTTAATATCAGTTTCGTACTACTTTTCGTTTATGAGCTAGACTGTTAACACACACACACACACACACAGACCATTTTGCGATACTTGGATTCGAAAATTTTCACTATCGCAATACTTACCTTTACTATATATTACATATATACGTAAGTGAAAGTAAAAAAGTGGAGTGAAAATAAGATTATTCCCAAAACCTAGTTGTTTTTACTTTCACTTACGTATATATGTAATATATAGTAAGGGTAAGTATTGCGATCGTGAAAATTTTCGAATCTCAGTTTTCAACGGAAATACATGTTTTGAGGTCCCTTGAGTTCAAATAACCAAGTGTCGCAAAATGGTCTGTGTGTGTGTATTAACAGTCTAGCTTATAAACGAAAAGTAGTACGAAACTGATATTAAGTATTTAAGGTTTGTATATGGGCCGGATGTGACAGCAACTTTTTCGTTAAAATCGGCTAACCGGAAGTGCCACTTTATATGAACGCTGAAACACATTTTTACAATTTTCTCAAAAACGGCTCTAACGATTTTGATCAAACTCGGTGTATCATTGTATAATTAAGTGCTCTTTAATATCATTTAGGTCTTATCCCCGTTGATGTCACTTTACAGGGCTTAAATGCCCCATATTCATATATGTCTTCCTCTAAAGTACCTTTAATATGGTTTATTTTAAAAAGTTAACCATTTCGCATTATTCAGAGTT